TTGTTCTGAAATTGATTGTAATCGATTACTTTGGAAGATGTAATCGATTAATAATCGATTACTTCCAAGTTTTTATCCCTTCAAATATCAAAGCAATATTTAAATGGTAAATGTTGATGTTATCCACTGAAGTTTGAATGTGTTTCTGCAGTTTCAGTGCAGATTCTTGTAAGGTTTTATTTTATTATTTTATTATTATGCTAACATTTTCACTAAATGTCCAAATGAGAGATTCTCTACCATGGAAAGTGGAGACATGATTCCTACAATAAAATATGCCAAGGAATTAATTATTCCTTTTAACCTTGGATCTGAACCTCCATATTTATTGACTTGTTGCAAACATTATTTAATATTTTATTGTGAATTACTTCATTAGAAGTATTTGGGCTGCCCGTATGTTGACAGTACACATTAAACATTCCTGTACGCGTCTTTTTCAATAAAATAAGTAAATTAGAACTCTTAGTAATAAACATGTAAATTAAATGTGTCTTTAAGTAATTAAACTAATAGCACAATTTCATTCTGTACTGAAATAAGTGTTTTGAGAGATATTAATTGTTTTAATAAATATTGTTTGTCTTCAATGCAATGAAAGTTAAACACCAGGTAGTTCACAGTTTACACCTCATTATCTGCAAATCAGGGATGTCTCAGTCAATTAATTAGCCAATTAAGATAATCAAACACAGTGACACTTCCTCCCTCTCTTACAGACGCTTATAACTTCTCGCTGATATAAAACCAACTTTACAATTTTTAATGAAAACATGAGAATGATTTTGCAAATTTAAAGTAACTAAAACACAAGTTTGAAGTTGGTTAAACATTTTCGGATATGAATAATTACATGTATTTCCATCTTCTTTTTTTCGAGTACAATTTAGTTTATTTACCAAATTATTTATATTTAATACAGCACTTAAATCTGTTTTTTTCTATTACAAGACAAAGTTTTTCAACATCTGAAATATGAAAAAGGACATGCAGCAAGAGGACAGTGGGTCATATGTAAAATGCACACAAAAAAAAATCTGTATATTTTATTAATAAATGGTTAAAATACACTTCTGAATTATTAGCTCACCTGAGCCAAAGGCTCAAGTGAGCTTTTCTGATCAAAATTTGTCCGTTGTCTGTCGTCGTTGTTGTCGTTGGCGTTGTCGTTGTTGTTGTTGTAAACTTTTCACATTTTCATCTTCTTCTCAAGAACCACTGGGCCAAATTCAACCAAACTTGCCACAAAGCATCCTTGGGTAAAGGGGATTCAAGTTTGTTCAAATGAAGAGCCACGCCCTCTTTCAAGGGGAGATAATTAGGAATTAGTGAAAAAATAATGGCATCATTTAAAAATCTTCTTCTCAAGAACCACTGGGCCAGGAAAGATGAAACTTATGTGGAAACATCCTCAGGTAGTGTAGATTCAAATTTGTTCAAATCATGACCCCCGGGGGTAGGGTGGGGCCACAATGGGGGATCCAAGTTTTACATAGAAATATATAGGAAAATATCTTTAAAAATCTTCTTCTTTAAAACAGTAAAGCCAAGATTGGTCATATTTATATGGAAGCATCCTCAGGTAGTGTAGATTCAAGTTTGTTCAAATCATGACCCCCGGGGGTAGGGTGGGGCCACAATGGGGGATCCAAGTTTTGCATAGAAATATATAGGAAAATATCTTTAAAAATCTTCTTCTTCAGAACAGTAAAGCCATGAATGGTCATATTTTTATGGAAGCATCCTCAGGTAGTGTAGATTCAAGTTTGTTCAAATCATGACCCCCGAGGGTAGGGTGGGGCCACAATGGGGGATCCAAGTTTTACATAGAAATATATAGGAAAATATCTTTAAAAATCTTCTTCTTAAGAACAGCAAAGCCAAGATTGGTCATATTTTTGTGGAAGCATCCTCAGGTAGTGTAGATTCAAGTTTGTTCAAATCATGACCCCCTGGGGGTAGGGTGGGGCCACAATGGGGGATCCAAGTTTTACATAGATATATATAGGAAAATATCTTTAAAAATCTTCTTCTTTAGAACAGCAAAGCCATGATTGGTCATATTTATATTGAAGCATCCTCAGGTAGTGAAGATTCAAGTTTCTTCAAATCATGACCCCCGGGGGTAGGATGTGGCCACAATGTGGGATCAAAGTTTTACATAGAAATATATAGGAAAATATCTCTAAAAATCTTCTTCTTAAAAACAGTAAAGCCATGATTGGTCATATTTATATGGAAGCATCCTCAGGTAATGAAGATTCAAATTTGTTCAAATCATAACCCCCGGGGGTAGGGTGGGGCCACAATGAGGGATCAAAGTTTTACATAGAAATATATAGGAAAATATCTCTAAAATCTTCTTAAAAACAGTAAAGCCATGATTGGTCATATTTATATGGAAGCATCCTCAGGTAGTGAAGATTCAATAACCCCTGGGGGTAGGGTGGGGCCACAATTGGGGATCAAAGTTTTACATAGAAATATATAGGAAAATATCGTTAAAAATCTTCTTCTTAAGAACAGTAAAGCCATGATTGGTCATATTTATATGGAAGCATCCTCAGATAGTGAAGATTCAAGTTTGTTCAAATTATTACCCCGGGGATAGGTTGGGGCCACAATGGGTGATCAAAGTTTACAGAGGAATATATAGGAAAAAATCTTTTTCTCAAGAACAGAAAAGCCATGATTAGTCAAATTGATATGGAGGCATCTTTGGGTAGTGTAGAATGAAATTTGTTCAAATGAGGGCCCCCGGGGGTAGGGTGGGGCCACAATGGGGGATCAAATTTTTACAAATGAATATATGGGAAAAAAATCTGCTGCTCAAGAACAGCAAAGCCGTTTGTTATATTGATATGAAAGCATCATCAGGTAGTTTAAAATTCAACACCCCCCTCCCTGTAAACTTTTCAATACTGTACTGATTTTTGCTTTTTTTCCTAGCCAATGTGCTCAGGTGAGTGATGTGGCCCATGGGCCTCTTGTTTAATACTAGACCAGAAGGTCTATAATGCAAATTTTATTGAGAACATTATAAAACTTATGATAATAAAAGTTAAGAAATCCAAACATTACACTAGGTGGTTTATATTTGATATTTATGTGTGACTGACTGGAAATAATTAATTCTCCAAAAAAAAACATCCATTTATGTATAAAATAATCAAAAGTAATCGAAAAAGTAATTATAATTACATTGAAAATTTTAGCTGTAATCGATTAAATTACGATTACAAGTAATCGAAAATCTCTTCGATTACAGATTACTGTCGATTACTTGAAGAACAGTAATCATTACAATCGATTACGATTACTTGATTACGATTACCCCATCCCTGGTATACAACAGCTATAATTAGGGAAACCGAAATCAAACAATAATCATTTCCATTTTAAAACATCGTGGACACATTCTTTTATTCTGACATTATTTACTGGGGTACAATATTAACTTCGTTGACCGCCATTTTTATATTTCTTGTCTAGGGATTTGCTAAAACACGCAATTGACTATTACATGTAACAGTGAGCAATTGAAATTAATCATATTAACATGCTATAATTTTGCTTGAGATATTGTTGTAAAAAATAAATTTACTTGAGAGTACATTCGTAATTTAACAGTCATCATGAATTTCACAGCTTTGTATGTTCAATGGTGTGTAGCACTAATACCCCTATTATGGCACGTGCTGTTAATCATGCCCCGCAGGTGTTTAAACCAAAACAGGTGTTCACACATTTGTGTACACAGTGTGTATCCCTTTATCTGTCAGACAATTAAAATTCTACTAGAAGCCAATCTTTGTATAATTCAGTGTACCCCTTGGTATATTAAACAAAAATAGTTAAGACTAGCTGTATATTTGGTAAATAATTTTAGGAATTTACTGGCAACAATTTATTTCACGCATTTTAAATTCAAATAAATATCACAAGACAATGAAAAAATATTTAGGTATACTATTTCAATTAATCGTTACAAATAAAGGTAAAAAAAAAAAAAAAAAAAAAAAAAGATTACAATTGCGATTGTGTAAAACTCTTCCGTTTTTAAACTTTGATATGGTTGCGGTTTTATTTTTAGTAAACAATTGCTACTTCCAACTTCACAAAATGGACACAGCATGTTGTAAATATACTTTGAGACATTATTTACTAGATGATATTATAAGTTTATTTTTACATCGACGGATATTTAATGGAATTTATTTTGTAAGAAATATAGAATTAATATTTAATTCTTTATTGTTTATTTTTTTTCTCGGTAAAATAATTTAAAAAAAATACGAAAATGGCACAGATCTGATTTAAAATTGACGCAAATTTTACTGATTTGGGGGCATAAACTTGAGCCTTAGATAGGACGATTCGTTAAATAGGACGACCCCAGCAGTTCTGAGAAAAAAAGTATCGTCCTATCTTCCAAAAATTACGGTATTCAATTCTTATTATTTGACAGCGTCTATTTATATTATTTATATTCACTTACTCATGTACAACACTCCACCCCCACCTTCCATCTTTCAATCTGTCGTATCTTGACAGTCAATTTGTTTTACTAATATCAAAGATCAGTACCTATCATTGTGACTGCTAAAAGTATCGATATTGTACTTATAATGTATCTCATTTGCTTTGAGCTTAAAATTTCTTCTGTATAATAATGATCTATTTTCTTTCTGTATGAGAATACACTCATGTTGTCATGAACTCAGGGATTCTATTGCTATATCGTTTTTGCAGCAGTATGGTGTTTCAGATCGGAGAAAACAAAACTTCAAACACGTTTACATTTTCAGTGGTCCAAGCTTATGGACTTCAATATCACTGATTCCAACGTTTATTTTGGGGATACAAGTGAGGGATATTCCCTACATACGTGTTATAGTTTTCTTTTACAGACATTTATAGGCCTAATCAAATCTTTATTGTAAGTTGATATATGTCACTTTTAATAAATTATTCTATTCTTTAAATTGTTGCATTTTCAGAATTGATTACTATGTACTGTAAGTTGTTTGGGGACCCGGAGTGTGGATTGGATAAAATCTTGTTATCCAGGATCATCCGGTCATTGATTTCTGCTGCTATTTTGCGGTGTGAACTCCGACCTAAGAAATTCCTCTCATTCTTCACAGTGGTTTTCAAGGACATCAGGTAGTAGTTTCTTCCTTGTCATTTCCATCATCATCACCATCATCATCATTTGTTCATAAATTTCAAAATAATTTTTTGGAAATATTTCTCTTAGAAAATTAACATTTAAAGTATTTTCTTTTTTATATACCCAGTAAATTAAATCATTTTAATGTCTTTTAGAAAAGAAAAGAGAGTTGCTGTGGTAGAACATCTAATTAGTGCAGCCAACACCTTTGTATGCTCAATTGCACAGAATTCCAGGGCACAAGTGTGCAAATTTGGGGAAAGCATCTGTATCAACATGCTCTACCTATGGGAAAATAGGCCTTCAAATATATTAAAGGTATATACATGTAATTTACTTTTAATTTAAGTTTCTAACTGAAACCTTTTCAGAAATAATCGTATTTCTATCAGTGACACTTTCCCTAGAGAAATATAAAATTTTAGTCTGGTGTGCGGAGTGTGTACCGTATATACTCGCCTATAAGTCGGTTTTTTGGGAGTTAAAATTTGGTCCAAAACTCTATGTCCGACTTATAGGCGAGTCATAAAAAGATTAGTATTTTTCTGGAGAGCGAAATGTAGTATTTTATAAACATTTCCAATGATTTTCGCTGAACAATGTCTGGAAATAATATTATATCATTTATGTATTCTAAATTACACATAAACACAAGTATTTACATATTTTAATAATTTTATTTTTATCTTTAAGTGTGTATTATATATTTTTCTTATGATTTAAAATTAAATGTCGGCATCATTTCTAAAAATATTGATCAAAACCAGGTTAAAACATTACGCCATTGATTTGAAATTGTCAACTGATTCTGGCAAAAAGTTGTACCGACTTATAAGCGGGTCAATGGCAAATTCCTCCAAAATAACCTCAAAAAATGCAACCGACTTATAGGCGGACCGACTTATAGCCGAGTATATACGGTAAACTTTTTGATATCTCAAGAACCCTCTGTCCAAGTTTTATCAAATTTGTCATAACTGAGTTTCCTCTTTTCTAAAACCACGGGGCAGATTTCCACCAAACTTACACCATAAGGATGAGAATATATTTTAGATAAAAATTGTTCAAGGCTTCACCCTAGGGCAAAGGGTGAAGTCTAGAGGTCACTTCACTCAAAATATTTTTTTAAAACTTAGATATTTTGCCCATTTTGAGGACTAGAATCATCAAATCTTGTCAGTCGGTGCATTTTATGACCATAGATCATGTTTACCCAAAAAAGTCACAGTGATCTTTTATTTGACTTTTGCAGCTGTTCTTTTTGTATGCCTGTCTTAAGCCAGGATGTTTTATGGTATGGCATTCTTGCCCATCTATCTGTCCATCTGTCTTTCTGTCAGCTTTTTCTTGTCCAGCTCATGATCATAACTTAAATACTATGAGGCCTAGAATTGTCAAACTTTGTCACTGATACATCTTGAGTAGAAGGTGTGTCACATATTAAAAGTAGAGTACATCAGATTCAAGTTTGTTTAAATCCTTCGGGATGGGGTGGGGCCACAATGGGCGATCAAAGTTTTACATAGGAATACATAGCAAAAATCTTCCTGAAAAACAGCAAAGACATGATTATTCATATTTATAAGGGAGCATCCTCAGGTAGTGTGAATTCATGTTTGTTCAAAGCATGACCCCCATCTGCAGGTAGTAGATTCAAGTTTGTTCAAATAATGACCTTTAGGGGAAGGATGGGGCCACAATGGGCAATCAAGGTTTTACATAGGAATAAATAGGAAGAATCTTCAATAATTTTCTCCTCAAGAACAGCAAAGCCATGATAAGTCACATTTATTTAGAAGCATCCTCAGGTAGCGTATATTCAAATTTGTTCAAACTATGATCCTAGGGGGTAGGTTGGGAGCACAATGGATGATCAAAATTTTATGTAGGAATATATAAGTACAATGTTTAAAAAAAAATTGTCCTCAAAAACAGCAAAGCCATGATAAGTCATGTTTGAAAAGAAGCATTATAAAACACTTGCTGTGGCCTTCAACTCGACATTTAGATATATCGACGACGTATTGTCAATTAACAATGGCTATTTCCATTCTTATGTTGATATGATATATCCTGGTGAGCTTGAGATAAAAGATACCACAGAGTCTGACACATCTGTTTCATATTTGGATATTTTACTTGAAAAAGACGTTAATGGTAATCTAACAACCAAGCTTTATGATAAACTTGATGACTTTAACTTTTCAATCGTCAACTTCCCTTACTTATGCAGCAATATACCTTCATTACCTGCATATGGGGTATATATCTCTCAGTTGATTCGATACGCAAGAGCATGCTCTACGTATGTACAATTTCTAGAACGAGGTAAATTATTGACAAATAAGTTGATGAAACAAGAATTTCAGCTGTCTTGTTTAAAGTTTTCATTTCATAAGTTCTATGGAGGATACAATGACCTTGTCAGCAAATACAATTTATCATTGAGTCAAATGCTGACTGACGTTTTTCATACTAATTGTTAGGCCATTATTTACACACTGAATTGTCGATGGATTTTTCCGTTGTTTCCCGATCATGACAAGGAGCACACAGCGGGTGTGACCGGTCGGCAGGGGATGCTCACTCCTCCATGGCACCTGATCCCACCTCTGATGTTTGGAGGTCCGTGTTTGCTCTGCTCCTATTTTGTATTGTTTAATGGACTTTTGAGCTTGAATACTGTTCATTATCTCCATATATTTCATTCTCAGGTAGTGTAGATTCAAATTTGTTTAAATCATGAGTCCTTGGGTAGGATGGAATAAGTCCTGGGTTTCTTCTTTTTTTGCATAATGCCTGTTTCGGATTTGTTTTTTTTGAATGCTGTTTTTAGCTCTACTGGTCAGAGACCAGAAGAGCTTATGCGATAGTAAGGTGTCCGTCGTCCGTCCGTCTGTCTGTCTGTCTGTCTGTCTGTCTGTCTGTCTGTCTGTCCGTCTGTCTGTAAACAATTTTTCAAAACGCCACTCCTCCTACAGTTTTGGTCCGATTTCAATATAACTTGGCACACAAGTAGACTACACTAAGATACATAATTTAGTGCATCGGTTTTTGATTTCAATGGACGGTGTTGCCATGGTTACTAAAAATAGAAATTTCTGTGAAATTCCTTTAAAACGCTACTCCTCCTACAGTTTTAGTCCGATTTCAATATAACTTGGCACACAAGTACACTACACTAAGATACATAATTTAGTGCATCGGTTTTTGATTTCGATGGACAGTGTTGCCATGGTTACTAAAAATAGAAATTTCTGTGAAATTCCTTTAAAACGCTACTCCTCCTACAGTTTTGGTCCGATTTCAATATAACTTGGCACACAAGTAGACTACACTAAGATACATAATTTAGTGCATCGGTTTTTGATTTCGATGGACGGTGTTGCCATGGTCACTAAAAATAGAAATTTCTGTGAAATTCCTTTAAAACGCTACTCCTCCTACAGTTTTGGTCCGATTTCAATATAACTTGGCACACAAATAGACTACACTAAGATACATAATTTAGTGCATCGGTTTTTGATTTCGATGGACGGTGTTGCCATGGTTACTAAAAATAGAAATTTCTGTGAAATTCCTTTAAAACGCTACTCCTCCTACAGTTTTGGTCCGATTTCAATATAACTTGGCACACAAGTAGACTACACTAAGATACATAATTTAGTGCATCGGTTTTTGATTTCGATGGACGGTGTTGCCATGGTTACTAAAAATAGAAATTTCTGTGAAATTCCTTTAAAACGCTACTCCTCCTACAGTTTTGGTCCGATTTCAATATAACTTGGCACACAAGTAGACTACACTAAGATACATAATTTAGAGCATCGGTTTTTGATTACGATGGACGGTGTTGCCATGGTTACTAAAAATAGAAATTTCTGTGAAATTCCTTTAAAACGCTACTCCTCCTACAGTTTTGGTCCGATTTCAATATAACTTGGCACACAAGTACACTACACTAAGATGCATAATTTTTTGCATCGGTTTTTGAATTCAATGGACGGTGTTGCCATGGTTACTAAAAATAGAAATTTCTGTGAAATTCCTTTAAAACACTACTCCTGCTACAGTTTTAGTCTGCTTCTAATATAATTAGGCATACAAGAAGACTATACTAAGATACACAATTTATTGCATCGGTTTTTGAATTCGATGAACAGTGTTGCCATGGTTACTTAAAATAGAAATTTCTGTGAAATTCCTTTAAAACGTTACTCCTCCTACAATTTTGGTCTGATTTCAATCTAATTTGGCACACAGTTAGAATACACTACGATACATAATATGTATTTCTGTTTTTTTTATTTGGGTGAATGGTGTTGTCATGGTTACCGGTACTAAAAATAGAAATTTCCGTGAAATACTTTCAAAACGCTACTCCTCCTAGTTTTCATTTGATTTCAATATAACTTGTCACAAAAGTAGACTACATTAAGATACATAATTCTATTTATTGTTGCATGTTGCAATGTTTCAAATCCAAGTGCTACTTTTCTTTTGTTATACAGACAGACCAGTAGAGCTACAGTCTCATCAGAGACTTCTGGTTTGTATTTGTATGCTCCAATGCCTCAACTCCTTCAAAGAAACTTGGTTTATTTCAACCTAATACCTAAAATGCTCCATTATGTAATCATCAGACTAGAAATGAATAAAATCCAGGGAGTGAATGCTTTAGCTTGATAAAGAGGAAATAATCACTAGGAACAAAGCCAGAGGAGCATGGTGGGAGAAGGAGGAAGGAATGAATTTGAATGCTAAAATCTTTCTTAGTAATTTTGAGTTCACATTTGCAAAGAATTTAATGAATGTAGTGCAGATATTTATAATACACTAAGAGCTGCGAACGATAGTATTGTTCTGCCGCCTACCTCCAAGTCAAATTTCAAAAGTTATCATATTTGAATGATTTTTCATATTTATATAGATATTTATGTGAATTTTCATAAAACATATCTTATTTGGGAAAACAAAGAGAGATAACTCCTTAATTTTGGTAAAAATTGCGTTTTTCATTATAGAAATCAACGGAAAATGGAAAATATTTTTACACCCCCCCCCCCCCCCCATTTATATGTGAAACAAAAATTCCTTTTCATGGGTTTTATGAATTGTTATTTGACAAATTCATACCAAAGCTTTTGTTGTTTCATGGGGGAGGGGGGGGGGCATATATTTACAGACAAAAAACTGCAAAAATGGTCATTTTATTATCAATATTAAATGAGATTTCAAATAAAATAAGGTCTTTTATCAATCTTTTATGATGAATTTTACAGAGATTAAACATACAGAAAGTTTTAAGGGTCATTTTTCCATTATCATACTTTTTTGAAAATCAAGCAATTTTTAAAGCCTGATTTCAATGGATAAAATGTTCAACCCCCCTTTTGAAAAGGGTCATAAATAGGAGCAATTGAGTTTGAGTTTTTGACACTGGTATTAAAATTATTAATCAATCAATAATGAATTCTTCTTTGAATTCAATCAAGTTTTAATGGCCAAACTGCCATTTATATTGAATTAATGGGTGTAAAATGTAGGTGGGAATCGAGAGTAAGCGTGAGGGTTCTCAGTGCAGATATTTATAATACACTAATTACAGGAGGAAATCTTGGTGTTCCTAAGGACACAGGTGGCAGCTCACCACCCAGGTGGTGCCAGAAAAGATGAGTGTGGCTCCTTTGCTTATGACTGGGATGATTGGCAGGTCAGTCACAGAATATTTTTTATTTTGATTCCAGCAGAGGTAAAGCTTCTATTACATTCAGAGATCCAGATAAGGTGCATTATTTCAGAAAAATGCATTGTAGAAAATTCTATATAACAGGTATTTTCTGTGGATGGAAATTTTTGTGATTTGACTCCTTCAAGGTAGCAAAATAATTTCTGCAGTTGCAATAAGCCGCAATAATGCATTTACTGGATATGGCTACAAAATATCAAAGATTTGGTAGAACACTACAATAAAATTGTTATATTGTAACATTGTAATATTAAGCAGAGATAGCTTTATTGGCCTGTTTTTTGATGGGTCATATTATCATGTGTCTTCCTTGGCATCCATCAGGCTCTCTGTTAGTTGGCTCTCAGTTAGTTGACTTTCATGTTCGGGTCATAATTTTAAATCACCCGAGTTACTCAGGTACTTGTTACAGTTAAAACTATATAGACCTCCCTTACCCGCTTAGCCTACATTCTCTCCTCATTTACAGAAGAGATGGAAATTAATCAAAAACTGCCACTTAAAATTTCATGGGCTTAAAATTTGTTCTTTTTACAGAGCGTGTTGAGGAATCTATATGAACTCTTCGATACAGACATGAAGCAGCAGAACACTCGCAGCAGATTCTTTGTTAGGTGACTCATAGCATCATAATCATTTATATATAAATTGTATTAAATAAGTAAAATAGAATGCTGTATCATTTTGTGTTCTGGCAGTTTTAATGAGAATATAAATGAATTTTTTTTTAAATATTTGTAGTTCAAGGGAGACGAGTCTAGCTGAAAACTATATCGAACTTATTGTGGACATATTCAATCAGGCAAGTATGCATGTATGAAAATGAAATGCAGTTGTAGTATACTATTGCTTTCTTTGCCCTCGTATTGAAGATTCAGGGATATGTAGTTTTTGCCCATTTCTTTCTGTCTGTTTGTCCACAAAAACTTTGAAATTGCCCTTACATGTAGCTTATGATTGGTTGGAGGTATGGCTTTCATATTTCAGTTGTGTATTCCTTGTGACAAGATCTTTCTTTGGGTACCATCATATATGACCTTGGAGTTTGAACTATTTTTTCAAAATTTTACCAAACTTTAACCTTGGCCATAACTTTTGAACAATTGGTGCTACAGCTTTCATATTTCACATGCATAATCCTTGTGACAAGACCTTCGTTTGGATACCAACAATTTTGATCCCTTGACCTTAACCTAGGAAATTGGCCTGCTTTTGAAAAACTTTATCATTGGCCTTAACTTTTGAACGGTTGGTGCTAGGGCTTTCATACTTCACATATGTAATCCTTGTGTCAAGACCTTCCTATGGATACCAACAACTTTGACCTTTTGACCTTGATCTACTTTTGAAAAACTTTAACCTTGGCCATAACTTTTGAACAGTTGGTGCTAGGGCTGTCATACTTCAATATAATCCTTGTGACAAGACCTTTCTTTCGATACCAACAACTCTGACCATTTGACCTTGACCTAGGAGTTTGACTACTTTTGAAAAACTTTAACCTTGGCCAAAACTTTTGAACGGTTGGTACTAGGGCTTTCATATTTTGTATTCCTTGTGACAAGACCTTCTCTTGGATACTAACAATTGTAATCCATTGACATTGACCTTGGAGTTTGACCTACTTTTCAAAAACTTTTGAACGATTGGTGCTACAGCTTTCATATTTCACATGTGTATTTTTTGTGAGAAGGCCTTTCCTTGGGCACCATTAATTTTGACCATTTGACCTTGACCTTGATGTATGACTTACTTTTGAAAAACTTTAACCTTTTCCATGTCTATTCAATGGTTGCTGCTTGGGCTTTCATATTTCACAGGTATATTCCTAGAGACAAGACCTTACTTTGGGTACCAACATATTTGATTTGCATTTGAGAAAGTTTAACCTCTGCTAGAAGTTGCCATTCAGGGGCATTAGTGTTTCACAAACAGAACTTGTTAAAGAGGAAGTTCCAAAAGTTACCCCCCTTTAGTTGTTCATGAGGAGAGGAAATTTTTAACCTATGAACTATTTAATCTTTGATTTTCAAAAAAATTATGTTAGCCTAGCTGTTAAATTTCAGTAACTTATTTTTATTTAATAAAAGAAAAAAATCAAATCAATATTTATAACAGAGACAAGTAATCTGAATATTATGTAGCCAATTGTAACGGAAAAAGCAATGTAAAATAAAGATTTTCAGATTAAAAAAAATGCTGTGCAACAAAATGGTATGATTACGAATTCAATTTACATTTGAAATTAAAGAAATTGAAGGGATAATCTTCCTTTTCTTCTTTTTATGGAATGGAGAGGGTTTAATGCAAATGAGAAAATAATCAAGGAAAGGATAATGTATTCATAAAGAAACTACAATCAAAGCTCCGATTCTCATTTTTAGCTCTACTGGTCAGAGACCAGAAGAGCATATGCGATAGTAAGGTGTCTGTCGTCCGTCTGTCTGTAAACAATTTTTCAAAACGCTACTCCTCCTACAGTTTTGGTCTGATTTCAATATAACTTGGCACACAAGTAGACTACACTAAGATACATAACTTAGTGCATTGGTTTTTGATTTCGATGAACGGTGTTGCCATGGTTACTAAAAATAGAAATTTCTGTGAAATTCCTTTAAAAGGCTACTCCTCCTACAGTTTTGGTCTGATTTCAATAAAACTTGGCACACAAGTAGACTACACTACACTAAGATACATAATTTAGTGCAGCGATTTTTGATTTCGATGAACGGTGTTGCCATGGTTACTAAAAATAGAAATTTCTGTGAAATTCCTTTAAAAGGCTACTCCTCCTTCAGTTTTGGTCTGATTTCAATATAACTTGGCGCACAAGTAGACTACATTAAGTTACATTCTATTTATTGCTGCGTGTTGCAAAGTTTCAAATCCAAGTGCTACTTTTCCTTTGTTATATGTACAGACCAGTAGAGCTACAGTCTCATCAGAGACTTCTGGTTCTTTTATTACATCAGTATCACATCGCTCGTCATTTTGATGCTTAATAGTATTTAAAATTTGACACCATGTTAAACGTTTTATTGAAATCATATATATGGTACCAATTTTTGATGCACCAGATGCGCATTTCGACAACTTATGTCTCTTCAGTGATGCTCTTGCCGAAACGTTGGAAATCCAAAAAATTTAAATAACAAAACTTTGAAGAGCTGAAAAAGGGGGTTCAAAAGACTGTAGCCAAATACATGGAAGGATCAGAGCTATGCACGAGGGAGATAATCCTTAATTTTGAAGTCACAGAAAGTTATTTCCCCCACTGTGCTAACATCTTTAAATACAGTGAAGCCTTATTAATCCGAATGCCAATAATTCAGATGCTTCACTTTCCAGACAAATTTTCTGGGGAACAGAATTAACATTTATATCTACCCATTATAAAAGGCTGTTTCAGTAATCCTTCATTAGTCCGAACAATTTGCTTGGGAACACAAGCATCCAAATTAATGAGGTTCCATTGTATCTGTTGTTCATGAATGATTATAATTCTTGGTTACCAAGAATAGTTTTACGTCTTAAACCTGAACTTCATGTTAATGTTGGGAAACTGAGAAGACATTTCTCTTTGAACCATCACAGCTCTTGACTTCAAACAAGGTTAATGCATCAGATTAACCTCTACTGGTCACTACAATTATCGTTAAATCCACAGATTTCCAGAAATTTGTTGCCAACATCAATCTTAACATTTAGTTATCTGAGCTTGTGAAACCAATTTACATGACCTGTTAACTGCTAAACAGGGTGCATGCAGTGTCAAAAGATTTATATCTTTGAAAACATAATTATTACTGTGGAATGATCTTTGGCAAGCAAAATTTTACTTGTCCCCACCTAGTTTGTGGGGTTATAATTTTGTGGGTTACTCGTTTATATGGTAGATTCAATGAATCAATATGTTTACAAAATAAACATTCATGAGGATGTAAATTCTTGGGTTATGGTGACCCACAAAATTCACAAACATTGGTCCCCCACGAACAATGATGATTCCACAGTTTGTTGAAACATGAAAAATTATTTTGGACTATTGCTTATGAGTCAAAGGGGGTTCAGCTAATTTGAGTATATACTGAGTAGGCAACACTTCCAGTGTGGAATGCAGTACTTGAAGAATATGTTTTGTTTACAGACAAATCTTGTTTTCATTTTGTTAGACATGATGGTTTTGAAAGTTTTTGTAGCAGGGAAATATCAAATTTTATCATTGACACAAATACCACAGGATTTGTAATGACACTGTACCATATGGTCATTTGAACAAAGTCTTAGTGGCTGGGTTTAAGATGTAAAATTCTTGTTCATTTCAGAATTTTGTTTTGGAGTAAAATTTTGTTTGAGGGTATTAATAACTTTCAAAAGAAGTGTGATATGTCATGACCGAAGGGTCACCTCACCGTTGACCTAAGATGAAGGTTGTTTACTAGATAGGTTAAGGTCAGAGGATTGTATGTGTTACATTCTGAGACATATTAGAATTCGAGGAGAAGCAGAAGAACATACTTGGAATGATTATTTTTATGTGCCCGGATCAATAGATCGAGGGTGCATATTGTTTTTGTCCTGTCTGTCTGTCTGTCTTTTAGTCTGTCTGTCTGTTGTCAACTTTAACCTTCGCCATAACTTTTGAACCATGAGAGAAAGAGACTTCATATTTGGTATGCTTACTCCACTAATTAAGCTGTTTCAAATGACACCAAGGTCAATGACTTTGTGACCTTGACTGTGACCTATATGCTAAAAATAGCTTTTTTGAACTTTCACCATAACTTTTGAACCATAGGAGATAGAGACTTCATATTTGGAATGCGTACTCCACTAATTAAGTTCTTTCAAATGGCACTAAGGTCAATGACTTTGTAACCTTGACTGTGACCTATATGCTAAAAATAGCCTTTTTGAACCTTCACCATTACTTTTGAACCATAAGAGATAGAGACTTCATATTTGATATGCATACTCCACTAATTAAGTTCTTTCAAATGACATCAAGGTCAATGACCTTGTGACCTTGACTGTGACCTATATGCTAAAAATAGCTTTTTTGAACTTTGTTGCCGCCAGGTGCATAGTGTTTCACAAACACATCTTGTTTACTTAGAAGTCTGTCATGATTCTTGGCTTTGGTTGTTTAGACACTGTCAGGGTTACATGGCTGAGTTTAAATGTTGTATGGGCCATAAATTTATAATGTTAAGATATGGGAAGGATATACTGTCAAAGCAGACACGAAGGTTGCTCACAACCAGGGGAGGTGTAATGTTTTATCAAGTGAATTACTACATAGTACTATATTAACTGATTTTCATCCATAGAAAAAATTCTGTCATTTTCAAATATGCATAGTAACATTTTTTTCTGTTGATATTAATTATATGTTCCATGGAATGCACAAAATACTATTGAATGTACATAGTATTTATTTTTGAAAAGCTTTTCCTGGAGAATGTGAACTCTATAGATGTCACACAGATCTCTACCCAGCAAGGTCCAGGAACTAAAAAGAGGCGCTTAAACTCAGGGTGGTGCTACATGTTGGACTTCTTGTCAGACAGAGAACAACACAGCCAGACAATTCCCTGGATTCAACTGATCACTCGGTTTCTACAAAAGTATCCCCAAAATTTTCCAAAGATGCAGGTTCTCCCATATTTGGAGGCAATTGCAGCCCAGTTAGGAAATTTTAAAAAGTTTGTAGATATGATTTTGAGTTAAATTAATTGTTGTAATTGAATGTTGAAAATGTAATTCAGAGGTTTGAATATGTTCTGTTCTATAAAGCATGTCTCATTGTCTGGGATTTAGGCCTCAGAGTGGACAGTAATTATGTCCCTTGAACTAGTCACCTATTGTAAGAGTCCTTTAATGACGTTTTTACCGCCTTAAAGGATTTTTATTTCATCTCGAAATTCTTTGAAATAACAAAGTTCACATGTTATTGAAACCATCCACTTAAAATTAAGTGCAATTGCTCTGATGTCAGAGACATGGTGTATATCCCAACATACAAGGTTTATATTTTGTTGTACGAGGGGTGTATGCTTTCGAAGCCATAGAAAGGGGGTCGAGATATGTTTTGTCCAATTTCTCAATTTATGGACCCCCTTTTTATCGCTTTGAAAGCATACACCCTGAGCACAACATGGTATACACCCCATATGTTAGGATATACACGGTGATAGATGTCAATCCTGGTCAAGGAAAAAAATGATAGTGTTTCCAAAAAAGCTCAATAAACCTTGATAGATAATAAATTAGTGAGCATTGGATTATGAACTGTTAGTGTGGTGTAATTTGTGTCATTTGAATGTACAAATGTGCACAAGAAAGGATTTGAGAAGTTTTCTTTTCAAATTCCCTAGACTCTGACTGATGGAAAAAAGGGATCCTTTTTAGCTCTTCTGAGCCGAAGGCTCGAAGAGCTAATTGCTATGGCCATTTGTGCGGTGTACGTCAACTTTAGAAAATGGGCCATAACTCAAGAACCCCTTGACCAATTTTTGTCAAATTTGTCACAGAGTATCCTTGGCCCAAGGGCTCTCATTTGTGCTAAAAACAGGGATGGAACCCTTAAACAAGGGGAGATAACTAGGAAACTAAAATCAAAAGTACTGGTTGCTAAAAAATCTTTTTCTCAAGAACCACTGGGCATATTATCAACAAACTTATATACAAGGATGAGGATATGTTGTAGATTTAAAATTGTTCAAGGCATCACCCTGGGGCAAAGGACGTGGTCTCAAGGTCACTTCAAAGTTGACCAAAATTTACGTTTTCTGTAATCTTTGATATTTTGCCCACTATAAGACTTACGATCCTCAAATCTTGACAGTTGATGCATCTTTGGACCTCATATCATGTTGACTCAAAGTAGGTCACAGTGACCTACTTACTGAATTTTGCAGATATTCATTTTCGTTTTAATTTTGATGCATAACTTGGATACTTTGAAGCCTATGATCATCAAAACTTGTCAGTTATGCATCATGTTACTTTGAAATGTGTCAACCTAAAAGAAGGTCACCGTGACCTACTTTCTGAATTTTATTGCTTATCATTTTCTAAACATTAAAGGTCATTATTCAGATACTAAGAGGTTTAGAATCATCAAACCTTATAAATTGATGCACCTAGAGGCCTTATTAAAAATAGGTCACAGTGACCTACTTTTGAAATTTTACAGGTATTCATTTTCAAATTATTTTAGAGGCATATTTTGGACACTTTGAAGCATAGGATCATCAAACTTTGTCAGTTGATGTATCTTGAGTCCTCGGAGTGTGTCAACCAAAAAGTGTGGAAGTCAAAAAACAACATTGTAGGTGGCTTTATAAACAATGCAAAAATATAGAGTTTGAAATTCTAAATATATGTGGAATTATAAAAAGAAACATGTCATCTGAAAGAAATATTTTTTTAGGTCACCTGAGTCACTCAGGTGACCTATTGCTATCTGTTTTTGTCCGTCGTCGTGCGTCGTCCGTCGTGCGTTAACATTTAAACATTTTCAGCTTCTTCTCTGAAACTGCTCAACCAATTTCAACCAATTTTGGCATATAGCATCTATGGGTGAAGGGGGACAAAAATTGTGAATTTCATGGTCCCTGCCCCCCAGGGGCCTGAGGGATGGGGCTAAAACCACCAAAATTAATGCAATCTTTAAAAATCTTCTTCTTTACTCCTGGACATCAAGCAGTCAAACTGTTGACATGATTGTAATAAGCATTGAGCCCTCTACCAAAATGTGAAATTCATGGCCCCTGGGTCAGGGGTTCTGGTGCTAGGGCGGGGCTATATAGATCATATAGTGAAAGTGCATTATTTATTTGAAAATCTTCTCTACTCCTGGGTATTATTGAAACAAATTGAATACATAGTTATGATAAGCAAGGGTGACTCTACCTAAATTTTAAAATTCATGGCCCCAGGGTCAGGGGTTCTGGTGCTAGGGCGGGGCTATATAGATCATATAGTGAAAGTGCATTATTTATTTGAAAATCTTCTCTACTCCTGGGTATTATTGAAACAAATTGAATACATAGTTATGATAAGCAAGGGTAACTCTACCAAAATTGTGAAATTCATGGCCCCAGGGTCAGGGGTTCTGGTGCTAGGGCGGGGCTATATATATTATATAGTGAAAATGCATTAATGCTTTAAAAATCTTCTTCTCTGCTCCTGGACATCAAGCAGTCAAACTGTTGACATGATTGTAATAAGCATTGAGCCCTCTACCAAAATGTGAAATTCATGGCCCCTGGGTCAGGGGTTCTGGTGCTAGGGCGGGGCTATATAGATCATATAGTGAAAGTGCATTATTTATTTGAAAATCTTCTCTACTCCTGGGTATTATTGAAACAAATTGAATACATAGTTATGATAAGCAAGGGTGACTCTACCTAAATTTTAAAATTCATGGCCCCAGGGTCAGGGGTTCTGGTGCTAGGGCGGGGCTATATAGATCATATAGTGAAAGTGCATTATTTATTTGAAAATCTTCTCTACTCCTGGGTATTATTGAAACAAATTGAATACATAGTTATGATAAGCAAGGGTAACTCTACCAAAATTGTGAAATTCATGGCCCCAGGGTCAGGGGTTCTGGTGCTAGGGCGGGGCTATATATATTATATAGTGAAAATGCATTAATGCTTTAAAAATCTTCTTCTCTGCTCCTGGGTATTATTTAAACAAATTAAGTACATTGTTCTGATAAGCAAGGATGCCTCTTCCAAAATTGTGAAATTCATGGCCCTAGGAACAGGGGTTCTGGTGCTAGGGCGGAGCCATATATATCCTATAATGAAGGTGAATTATTTCTTTAAAAATCTTCTTCTCTGCCCCTGGGTATTATTTAAACAAACTATTAGTACATTGCTATGATACACAAGGATGCCTCTTCCAAAATTATGAATTTCATGGCCCCAGGGTCAAGGGTTCTGGTGAAAAAGGGGGGGGGGGGCTCTATTGATTATATAGTGAAAAAGCAAAATTTCTCTGAAAATATTCTTTTCTGCTTCTGGTTAAAAAGCAAAGAAGCTAAGTGTATAGTTATGATGAGCAAGAGTGCTTCTTCCAGAGTAGTGAATTGCATGGCCCTGGGTCAGATGTGCTGGTGTAAAGGTGAGGCTCTTGATAATATAGTGAAAATGCATTAATTCTATTAAATAATCCTGTCTGCTCCTTAGTGTTAAGCAGATAAACAAAGTGATTACTTATGATGAGCAAACTTCTAGTCCCAGGATGGGAGGCTCTGGTGTTTCTCGATGGGGAGGGGTGGGGTGGGGGGGGGGGGGCTCTATTGATAATATAGTGAATCTGTAGTAAAAATGCATTATTTCTTTAAAAATATTCTCTGCACCTGGGCATATCAGGGGCAAAAAGAGTAAAAGTTTTAATAAGGAAGGGTTTTTTACCAGATTTTTGAACATCTGGACCATTTGGTGAAGTGTTCTGGTCCTGGCTAGGGCTCTATTAATTTGTAATCTACTGAGAAGAGTTATTCCCCTTTGCCATTTACTTTTGATAATTAATCACTGTAAATAATGTACTTGAAAGGTTAATAGAATAAGAGAATTATGCAAGAATTTTTATTGTATAATACAAAAAGTACTTTCATAGTTTTAATGATCAGGTAGACTTGTAAGTAATAGATAAATAAAAATGAGACAAAAATAACTTGTCTTATTAAATGTTCATCAAAGACCAAGAAAGGCCAATGTAAGAGATTTCAACAAGGAATTAAGATAGTAAAGAAGCACTGATAGTTTGTTAATTTACTGTATGGTGATAGTGTTAAATGGGGAACAGATTAGAACTTAATTTATGAAATGTTAATGAATGCTAGACTAATTACTTTTTTGATCCTGATCACTTTTTTTCTGCTTTTGGGCTAAATTAATGATGGTTTTCTGATTATAATTCAATGAAACTTGAATAAAAAGTTAGTACATGTATTTATGTTTTTTTTTCTTACATTCTCCAAGTTACAATTTGACAGGCTTACAGTGCAATTATAAAATATTCATTTATTAGATAATTTAACAAGTACTAGTTGGCAATTAAGTTCATATCACATGTGTGGTGATGATTGATAGTTTAAATTGGCAAGATTGTCGATTATGTATTTAATACACTTGCTATGGTCCAGACAGAAGAATTTTAATTCCTATAATTTCAGAAAGTTGCAATTACAATTGAATTGTTTAATAAATCTTAAGGGGCTATTTTCCATACTTTATTTTTTGGCAGTTTACTGGAGTCCACTTTTTGAACACTAAATGTAATCATTCTTTAGTGCAATTGTTCTCTTCAACTGATCAGCAGAATCATAAATTTTATCATCAATATGTATTAGTTTTAATCACAAATAAGCATGTACATAAATTTGTGGACAAATTGCAATGCATAAGGTGCTAAAATTTGATTACCCGAAAGTAAAGCTATACGTTTACCGTAGTTAGCAAAATAATGTTTACCTGAAGCTTTATGTTTTACAGGGTAGAGGTGATACATCACTTGATGCTCTGTGCCAAGTCCTTCATCAGTAATTGGAATATGTTTTCTGGGGAGTCAGAAAATAAAGAAATTTTAAAGAAAATAAGTTCAGCCGCACTAAGGTATCTTTATTGCTAGTTTAAATGAGAGGGATTCTGAAATATTTCAGATGTACTGTCTCAGACAAATGTTGCAGTCACGGCACTGCTTGCATGGAATTCTTATTTATTGAAATGCTACATGGTTTGTGTGAAATGCTGCAAATTATACAAGGGCTGTTTAATATGTAATGTGTATTGTACCACAGCACGATAATGCTTTGCATGATTTCATGGATGATGATGCTCTTGAAAAGCTGTATTCAATACTATTCCAATAGTGTAAACACAAGCCTTCAGCTCCACATAGTTTTAAACTTTCAGTCATTTCAATAGAGCCAGTCTTTGACCACTGTTGTAAACATGGTTGGGAAAGGGGTAGAGAATATTGAAGAAATTAGCTTACTGTAAAAGTGGAAATTTTGACGACGTGCTAATTTTGACTATATTGACGATTTTTCTTTTCTCGTCAAAATTTCCACTCGTCAAACTTCACATCATATATATAGCGTCACAACAGACATTGACCGTTGTACAACTTCACCGCTTAATTTTCTCGCCTTCCCCCACTAAAACTAGATCAAAGTTGCTGTTTAATTTTTTGGTAAATAGTTATGAAAACATATACACTGTAATTACAGTTTTAAAATCCATTGAGTATGTCATATACTATTATTACCCACGGTCACAACATTCTAACTTTGCATAATTATCACGCCGTGTTTGACCTACTTTGTCACCTCAGGCAATCTGTCTCGTATAATGAAAACAAAATACATGTTTTTTACAAGCAAAATTAAATTTAATTTTATTGATGAGAACGCTTGTAAATGAGTTCCCGAGAAAACCCTTTGTGAACTTTCAGGACCAATTTTGCATAGAACGGCTTAATTGTAGACGTTCTCAAGTCAACTAAGCCAATGTTTCCATCAAGTTTTTGATCCTCCAGTTTCTGGCGAACTTACTCTGAGCACCAGTTTTGAAACTCGTTTTTTGAGGTGTTCTTTGTATTCATTTTTTGTTTTAATCTTGTGAAATTAAAGATACATAACTCTTGATTCAATATTTCGTTAAAATTAACACTCGTCAATTTTCGTGAAGAAAAAATCGTCAATTTTTCAACTCGTCAAAATAACCACATTTACAGTATATAACAGTTTGCAAAAAACATTGGTAATGCAGATTTTTAATGAATTGGGGGAATTTTATAGGTCTGATAAGGTATCTTATGAGACAGTTCGTAGGTGGAGAAAGAAATTATTGACTGGTACAGAGTCTGTCAAAGATGCTCCAAAATCTGGCCAGCCTGTGACTGTGACAGGCATTTCAATGAAATAAGTGAAAGTGATGGCAGATACATGATTCGTGATATTACCAAAGCTGTTGAAATATCCCTATCACTGGTGCATTTCATTTTGAAGCATATTTTGAAAGTACCAAAGATTTCTGCCAGATGGATACTGCATATATTGACAGATGACAATAAATGGGTACGAGTATAAACTGCTAAGCAATTGCTCAAAATGTTTCCCAAATTTAATCAAAGACATTTGGAAACATTGCTACTGGTAATGAAACATATGGGTTTAATATTTTGAACCAGTAAGAAAAATTCGAAAAAAACCCCAAAAATATGGCTAACTTAACATGGTAGAAGACGTGTAGTTGTCAAAAGAACCATAAGCACAAAGAAGGTTCTTTATTACATATTCTTTTCAAGTGATGGTATAGCCATACAAATTCTAGTGTCGAAGGGCAAAAGTGTTACAGGTGGGTATTACTGAGATGTTATACTAAAAAAGCTCAAGAAAATAAAGGATGTCCTGTGTAAGGATTTAGGCATGTTCGTATACTTCATGATAAAGCTCCACTGCATACATCTAAGCTTGTGAAGCAATTTTTGATGAGGCTGACATCTTGCCACACCAACTAATACTCTCCAGGTCTAGCCCCATGTGATTTTCCTTTTTCCAAAACTTGAAAAGTTTTTATTTTGTCATCATTACAAGTCCTGACAAGCCCTTGGCTCAGCCCTCAGTCAGTACCTCAGATGTCTACCTAAATCAGCATACAGTGACAGATGTATTTCAAACCACAAAGAATACTTTCAAGGGATGTAATGTTCATTTCATGATTTGAGTCGAATGCTTTTGAGATATTGTACAATACACATTACACTTGGAACAATCCTCGTACATGTTCTGAATGAAATGTAGTATGATTCAACAAGAAGTTTTTGCCTCGTTTCATACACACTTCTCGCACATTTTATAACACTTAAATTTCAGTTTTCTGTACTGATTTCCATATACAGTGGATCTGAATTACTTATTAATACCTCATAAAAATATTTTTTGCTTAGATTAGATATAAACCCAAAGAGCTTTTTGATGTCCTATTGCCTTTTGTCTGTCTCTCCATCCGTCTGTAAAATTATCACAATCTTGATTATACCCCCCACAAACAAAGTTTGGGGGGTATACTGAAGTAATCACCTTTTCTATCTATCTGTGAAATATAGTCCACAAGATAACTTTGTTATGGAGAAACACTGGAAACTCATACTTGGTACAATGATTGCTTATGATCCAACTGTGTTTCATTACCTTGACCCAAGGTCATTCCAGCAAGTTCAAGGTCACTGGCAGAAAAGATATAAAATTTTCCGTGCTAAAACATTGTAATGGAGAATCACTGAAAGCTTGTACTTGGTACAAAGATTGCTTATGATCCAAGGGTGTGTCTTGGCCTTGACCAAAGGTCATTCCAGCAAGTTCAAAGTCACTGGCAGAATAAGTATAAAATTCTTGTCTGGGCTAAAACATTGTTATGGAGAATCACTGAAAGCTCATCTTTGGTACAAAGATTGCCTATGATCCAATGAGTATGTCTTGGCCTTGACCAAAGGTCATTCCAGCAAGTTCAAGGTCACTGGCAGAAAAGAAATAAAATTCTTGTCTGGGTTCTAACTTTGTAATGGAGGATCAATGGAAACTCATACTTTTGGTACAGAGACTGCAATTAATACAAGGGTAAGTCATGACCTTAATCCAAAGTCATTCTGGCATGTCCTAGGTTACTGGCAGAAAAGGTATAAAGTTCTTGTCTGGGCTATAACTTTGTAATGGAGAATCACCGGAAGCTTATACTTTGTACAAAGATTGCTAACATCCTTTGGGTTTGTCTTGACCTTGATCCAAAGTCATTCTGGCAACTTCAAGGTCACTGGAAGAAAAGTGTAAAATTCTTGTCCAGGCTTTAAGTTTATAATGGAGAGTCATTGGAAGCTAATAATTGGTACAAAGATTTTGTATGACTTACGGGTGTGTCATGACCTTGACTCAAGGTCATTCTAGCAAGTTCAAGGTCACTGGTTTAAAGTAAAATTAATAATAGATCTGTTATTTTCTAGTGGAGAAATATTGCATGTCTTTTGTCCATATTTCACTGAAAAAATTACTAATGATCAGAGGATGTCATTTATTTTAACCAAGGTCTTTTTGGCAAGTTCAAGGTCACATTTACAAAATTTGAATGGGCATTTTAAAGATATTGTGGTGGTGGGTATTATTTTGTGAGCTCACTCACAGTACCTCTAGTTTCTTCTCTATACCATTAGGCCAGTTTCAACCAAACTTGATACAAATCATGTATAATTTAAGGGGATTCTTTTCAAAGGAAGGACTACTCATCTTTTCAAAGGGAGATAATCAAGAAAAGGCAAAAAATAGGGTTCAGGCTTTTATAAGTCTTGTTCTCCAAAAGCATGGGGCCAGAAAAGATGAAATAATGAGAAAGCTTTCTGACAAAGTTAGATTCAAAATGTTCAAATCAGAGCCCCATGGATAGGGTTTTTACATTCAAATACAGTGGAAAAAGTCTTTAAAGGTCTTCTTCTAAAGAATACCAAGGAATTATTAGTCATATTAATATACAAGCATTCTCAGGTAGTGCAGATTCAAGTTTGATCAAATCATGATTCCCAGGGGTGTGATTGGCAACAATAGGGGATCAAAGCTTTGCCTAGGAATATATATGAAAAAAAATATACAAAAATATGCTTTTCAAGAACCACAGTCATGAATATTCAATTTATTTGCAAGCATCCTCTGGTGGTGCAAGCAGATTAAGAATTGTTCAAACTTTGACCTTGGGTAAAATAGAGCTGCAATAGGATACCAAATTTTTAGATGTGAGCATTAAAAAAGCCTTAAAGATCTTTTCTCTCAAGCACAGCAGAGCCATTCTTAGTCATATAAATTTGCAAACATCCTCAGGTTGTGCAGCTTCAGTTTTGCTCAGATTAAGCCCACTGAATCATGTTAATATGGACATTCACAAGTAGTATATTTTCAAGCTTTTCTTTTAATTTTGGACATGGGGTTAGGATAGGGCTAAAATTTTGGATCAAATCTTGCATAATGTATGTACAGTGTATACAGGAAAAAGGAAAACTTCAAAAAATCCTCCTCTCCAAAAACTGCAATGCCATGTTAGTCGTATTGGTATTTGGGTATCCCCATGTTGTTTGTCATGGACACTTGAGGTTAAAGTGGGGAAATAATATGGGTTAAAAAAATTCATAGAAATAAAGGGAAAAAAAACATTTAAAGATCTGATGATGAAGAAGAGCAAGACCAAGGTGACTCAGGTAAGGGTTGTGGCCCATCATTCTACTTAAAAGGTTCAGCTTTTATTATAATTTTTACCAATAGCACTTTGCCATAATTGAGTTTGCAGAATGGTCAATATGATGTAGTGAGTGGGTGAAACCTTGATTCAATGTTAACTAATAAATCAAAGTATAATATCATTTTGTGAGTTAACAAGGTTCTAGCTCCCTGTTTCCAGAATCTTGCTTACTCACTCAGTGATATATACTGTATAATGTATGTTTTTGTTTTGTTTTACTGTCAGGTGTGTGAGTGTTCATCAAGCAGATGACAGTGCTTACCAGCTACTGACAAGTATGGCAGAACAGGGACTGGATATTGAGAAAGACATGTGGAACCTCTTCATTCCAAGTGTGACTCGGCCGAGCACGAGAGCAGTGCAGTTTCTGATAACATATATGACCAGAAACAAAATCCCTGAACACTTCAAAAATCACCTGTCTTCTTTTTTAGCTCAGACATCAGAGAGTGATGACAAAAATCACCCTTTGAGAAAACAGTTGTTCAGATGGCTATTTCCAGGAAGAAGTCAGTATAGGACTATTTCAGCAGATATTGTGGATGAAAATAAGGCAGATCCAAGGGATATTGGGCATCTGGTTGCTTTACTACTTTTTAAAAATCAAAGTGATGTGCCAAATTATTGTTACATGGAACCAGACTATGGTGATGCTTTCTATACAAGTCTTGAAAAAATGTATTTGCAGTCATCAAACAAATTTGAAATTGAGAATTTCAAAGATAAAACAGAATCTGTTGATTCTTGTTTTGAATGCAATTTTCTGCATGATCTTTTTGATCATATTTTGAACCTTTTGAAAGATGAAGCAACGGCTTTGAGTGATATGATTGATTGTGATTTGAAACATTTAGAATCCCTAAGTTGGTACATCTGTGCAATAGCCAGTATTGTTCAGTGGTTAGTGAAGTACAGTGCTGTACAAAAAGATGTGGTGGAGAAGTCAGAATTGACTAACTGTATCAAAGTAATGCTCAGAATGTTTGGGAAAAATGTAAAAATTTTAACTTCATCTCAAAATATTTCATTATCTTTGAAAATTCTTAGAAATTTTCAGAAAACTTTGATGTTAGAGAATGAAGTGAAGTCAAGGGAGGAGTGTTTTGTAGCATTGGAATTGAGATCTTTGGTACCAGCATGTATCATTGAAGATTTCAAAAGTGTTCTTGTAGAAAAGGTACACATTTTATACTAGTCCATTTTGAATACACTTTGTTCATTGTAATTTCTCTCTTTCTTTATGATGTGAACATCGTAATAACCTATTGACTGAGTTGTAGACTCAGAACTAAAACTTTTCTCTTCCAAGAGAAAACCATCAGAAGGTGACCAGACTAGGAGAGCTGATGTGTCGCGTGTCATTGAGGGAGCTGATGATTTTGATGATTTTGACGTTGAAATGGAGACACCGAATGAGGAAAAGGGTGATGATTTTATGGAAGATGACTTTGCTGAATCCCAGGAATCTGATGTAACAGGAAGTGATGGAACAGGTGAGTTGTGTTTTAGAATTCACAATGTTTACAACTTGAATCATGCATTCTCAGCATAAAAGATAGCTGTCAATTTCTTTTTACTTATAACTGAGCAAATAATATATAATCTACATCACTTGAATCTTGATTAGAAGGGGGCAAATGTTAGGGTCTAACATAATAAGGACAATTGAAGTAACTGAGCACATAAGTGATTTACAGGAAAATATGCATAATTTTAAAATCTATTAAGGCAAATGTTTTTTTCCCCAAGTATATGTGAAATTAGACCAATATAAGCTTACAGAAAAGGTTGTGTACTGTTAAGGTGTCCTTCTTCCATCTGTCTGTTTGTCTGTATGCCCAAACAATTTTTCAAAATAGGATTGCTACATTTTTTACACAGTACAGTTTTTGTACAATTTCATTAAACTTTAGTATTCAAGTAGACTTCACAAAGATACATGATGTTTACCCCTTTATCCCATGGATATCACTGGATATTTTTCTCGTATCCCACTGCTGTGACGTTGCAATGGTTTTTGCGTGAAAGCGATGAAGTTAAATTATGTTGATCCATATATAACAAGAGGCCCATGGCCCACATCGCTCACCTGAGCACACTGGCTAGGAAGAAGCAGAAATCAGTTCATTATTGAAAAGTTTTTAAAAAAAAAGGGGGCGGGCAAACTCTACACTGTCTACACCACCTGAGGATGCTTCTATAAAGATACGAATAATCATGGCTTTGCTGTTCTTGAGCAGAAGATTTTTTTCAAGATGATTCCTGTATATTCTTATGCAAAAACTTCGACCCTCTGTTGTGCCACTAACCTCCTGAGGGGCCATAATTTGAACAAACTTGATTCTACAATACCTTAGGTTGCTTCTATAAAAATATGACTAATAATGGCTTAGTTGTTCTTGAGAAGAAGATTTCAAAGATATTTCCTATGTCATGTGTATGATCAGGTTCTTACAAGGGATTTATAGGTTTTCCTTTTACTCTGTCCAAGTTTATACTTATTAAGACAGCTCAGTCTGAGGGTATATCACACAGTACTTAAATTTTCTCTTTTCTAGAGATGGGGACTGGGTAAGGTACTACTTGCACCTTCTTTCTCCTGTAGGTTCCCATTGATAGATAAGAATCAGTTGTCTCAATCTTCTTCAGATATACTACACCCAGAGCTTAACATCAATTTTCTAGGATACTTACCACTGGTGTTTATGACTTTTATACTTTTATTTTGCTCTTACCCTTAAGGTTTTCCATCCTCTATCCTTAAATGTCCAACACATTCATAATACTCTGTTATTGATTAAAAGCATTTTACAGTAGAAAAGAATTTACCAAGAGAAAGTTTCAAAAATGTAATGAACTAAGCAGTAAGTACTCGACAAAGATTGCATTGAAGTCTATGGAACAATTTTTTTAAAAATAAAAATTCAAAGAATAAGAATATCAATAAATACTGTTGTGGAAAAATGCACTAAAACACATTAGAAATAGAATGACAATTGAAAAATTTTTTTTTTTACCAGATAAGTTTTTTTAAAAGTGATTTTTTAAAATTAAAAACAGGGAGATAATTCTTACCAAAATTCAAGGTCATAAATTAGGACACATCCCACCCTTACATAGTAATAAATGGGAATTATGTCTAAATATACTGAGTATTCAACACCTACACATCTGTTATGTATTCAATTTCATTGAATCTTTTGGTATTAGGATGGAATACCTTAACTTCTTTATTGCTGATTCATCATCCAACTTCTTCAGCTACTTTCTAAATGTCTGACTTATGATGAAAAATTCGCAAAGGTTTGTGTAATATACCCTTAGGCTAGTCCATTCCAAGGGTTTTCAGGTCATTCCATTTTCTGAAGTCTTCAATGCGTTTTACTCCAATGCCCCTTAACCATTACATCTATATATTCCTATGTAAACCTTGACCCATTGTTGTGGCCCTGCCCTACCCCCATGGGTCATAACTGGAACAAAGTTGAATCTACACTACCTGAGGATACTTCTATTATAATATGACTAATCATAGGTTTGCTGTTCTCTTGAGAAGATTTTTGAAGTCATTTCCTGTACATTCCTACGTAAAACTTTGACCCCCTCTTTTGGCCCTGCCCTACCCCCGGGGGATGTGATATGAACAAACTTGAATCTAGAGAATGTAATGAAGCTTTCACATTAGTTTCATCTTCTCTTGCCCAGTGGTTCTTGAGAAGTAGATTTAAAAAGATGCCACCAAATTTTCATGAATTCATAATTATCTCCCCTTGAAAGAGGGTGTGGCACTTCTTGTGAAAAAACAAATCCCCTTCACCCAAGGATGCTTTGTGGCAATTTTGGTTGAAATTGGCCCAGTGGTTCTTGAGAATAAGTCGATAATGTGAGAAGTTTACAGACGACAGACGGACATCAGACACTCTTTGATCAGAAAAGCTTACTTGAACCTTCTGCTCAGGTGAGCTAAAAACCGTGTAAAACATTGATAGTTATGCATAAATCATGTGATAAAATGGATTTCCCATCATATGTGGTTAGATATGATTTTTATCCAATTTGTGTTTTTATCCCCTCGCCAAGGCTCAGGGATAAAATACGCACAACTCATTGGATAAAAATCATATCCAACCACAAATAATGGGATATCCTATATATATTAGTCTTTGATTTCAAGGAATAGCGTTGCCTTGGTTACTAACAAGAAAAATTTCTGTGCAATTCTTTCAAATGCCACCTCTCCTACAGTTTTTGTTCAATTTCAATAGACTTGGTATGTAAGTTAACGTCTCAAAAATAATGATAACATGATTTTTATTTTTAATTTCTTTCTGCATGATTTCAACAATTAGCATGATTAGTGTTGAAGTGTTAGAAATTTTTGTGAAATTCTTTACAAAATTCTTTCAGTTAAGGTTTGATTTCAATATAACTTGCTTCTGAAGGTGGGTTGGTTAGGGTGCATCATTCAAGTTTTGTATGAACTAAATGAAATCATACCACTACCGCCAGAAAATAAATTGTAGTTTCTACTGACAGCCTACAGGTTTATAGCAGGAAGAAATACTTTGTTCAAAATCCCGCATAAAGTAGATGCACGTCTCCACCCCCTTTTTGTAAAAACTTGAAAAATAATAATTTCATTAATTGACGTTTATTGTGAAACCTGTTATACTATGTTTTGGATATTGTACTTCAGATGCTCTTATTTCATTTCCGTCAAGGATAAAAGCAGAGAATATGCACATTTTACTGCTAAATTGATTTTTCCTTTTGGGGGGGGGGGGGTAAAAATTTACAGGCACTTGGGTCTTGTTTTATAAATATGTATGTACTTTATTGATATGTAAAAAATGTACTTTACTTTTTTACATATCAATAAGGTACATACATATTTATAAACCAAGACTCAAGTATAGGGTCTGTGTAAAAATTAGCTTTTAACGCCCTATGGATAATCCGATTATTTGATACAAAAAACTGTATTCAGACCAAAAAAAAAAAAATGAAATGTATTGATTAAGCACAAAATTTTACAGCTTTAATTGTATTTGAACAATACCTTATTCATTAAATTTTTTCTCTTTTCCTGTTAGCAAGATTATTACGAATTACAAATGTACTTCGGGTTCATTGCCACGATGCTCTCAGTAAGGAATATATACAAATTTTACCGATTAATCTATTAGGAAAACCTATTACATATATGTAAATATATTTCGGTACATAAATATATTCACAGCTTATAGTGTTATCAATGATTTACCATTTCACACAAAAGCTTTTTATATGTTCATGCAGTTTTTTTTTTTTAACATCGGGCTCGGTGCTAAATGATGTTCTAGAAGCTTCTGTCAATATTAAGATTGGTGAATGACGAAGATAATTTGCACATTTCCTTTTTTAATTGGTTATCACAACTTATTTCTTTTATGGCATTTAAATCAAGTTTTGATTGAGTAATTCAGTGTTGACGTTTTATGAAATAAATTAACGATTGCTTGTTGTCAATTTCATTAAAAATTGTCAGTAACTTAGATCCGCCAATCGGAAACGCCACCCTACTCACGTTTTTGCTATTTCATGGCTGTCTATAGAAAATGAAAGTAGACTTTTAATTTAATGTACGATACTTACCATGTGAGTGAAATCTGAATATAGTTTACGGACATCATCTTGTATCTAATGTATTGTTAGAGGAGTAAGTAAGAACTCTGGTGCACCCGTTTCCGAGTTTATTTGCAAAATTTAATAATTTATAAGACTTAGTATAGATTCTCTCTGCCTTTTGGTACATGTATACTTTACAAAGATACATAAAGTAAGTTACCAAATATAGAATAATTTGGAACAGAGATTGAATTTCTTGTGTTTGAAAATCTGAAAAGAATCTTAAACTTCTGAAGAATGTATAAATTTAATAAGTATAAACTTTTAAATCATTCTTCAAGCATCATCATGATTTGGTAGAAATAAAAGAAATATAACAGCTAGGTAATATGGACTTTTTAGTAGAAATAAATTACCTTATGACTGTCATATGACTGTTAAATGAAGACCTGCAATTTATTCTATGATCTGCATTATTGTATTTCACAGATATGAAATCTATTCTGGATGACAGTCAGCTAACTGACACACAACAATTGCACATTGAATTGACCAGAACATTGTGCTTCTGGTGTGCCTTCGACAGTCCAGAAAACAGAGGAGAAGCAGGATTATTGAAGGATGTGCAGAAGCTGTCATCAATTAAATCAGAACTCATCAAAATTATGGAATCAGTGGATGCCTACAAGTCTTTTGACTTATTGCAAGTAAGTTTATTTTTGGAATCTTAATCTTTTAAAATTGCTTAATATTTTAAAACAGTTTTGGTATGTGGTATCTAGAGAGAAAGCTTAAAGAAACAAAATGAATTTCACACTCTCAATGAGAGATAGAGTCAAACTCATCAAAGTTTGTGCTACCTTAAAAATTTTCTTTTTTGCTGGAGATCGAGCCATTTCCACTCCTACAGTTTATTTTCAGATTTAAATATAACGTCTACAGCAAGACAAGTGTTTTCTGTAAATCAGATTTCATTTTTTCTCAGATCAGACTGATTATCAGAATGTTAACTTCACCATCACATCATGTCTCTGAGGAAAATATTCTTTCCATGATTACAGTTACAAGGTTTGTAGACACTTTATTTTCTAGTTTTTACATCATTCAAAGTAAATAGCTCTCTCTATTTAAATGCAGTAGAATTATGGATAAAACTTTGGAAGTTTGGAAGGGGGGTCTGGGTTGGAATACCTTTCTTGTCTTTATTTCTGTCTTTATCAAAGGCTTTTTTTTTTTAGCTCACCTGAATCCAAGGCTCAAGGGAGCTTTTCTGATTGAAGAGTGTCTGGCATCTGTCTATTGTGTGTCTTCTGTGATCTGTGAACTGTTCACATTTTCAACTTCTTCTTAAGAACCACTGGGCCAATTTCAACCAAACTTGCCACAAAGCATCCTTATTTGAAGGGAATTCAAGATTGTTTAAATGAAGGGCCACACCCTTTTCCAAGGGGTGATAATTCAGAATTAGTGAAATGTAATGGCATCTTTTAAAAATCTTCTTCTCAATATTAACCACTGTGACAGAAAAGATGAAACTCGTATGAAAGCTAGCTTCCTTACATAGTGTAGATTAAAGTTTCTTAAAATTATGACCCCCAGGGCTAGGGTAGGGCTACAGTAGGCGATTAAAATTTTTATACATTATCCTACAGGTAAGTACCTTACCCTTGTCTAATTGTAAATTATTAATAATTATATGGAAACATCCTTAGGTAGTGTAGAATTAATTTTGTTCAAATTGTGATCTCCAGGGGCAGGGGGTGGGGCCACAATGGGCATTCAAAGTTTTATATATATATATATATCTATATGTCTATATATATATATATATATATATATAAATCTTTCCATGATTACAGTTACAAGGAAAAAATTGGCTTTGCTGTTCTTCACAAGAAGATATTTAAAGTTTCTCCATGTATATATTATATAAATAGTGCACGTTTTTGAGGGTAACAGTTGAAATTGACACCCCAAGGAAAATCATTGTCAACCGACGCGTCAGCGGAGGTTGACAATGGTTTTCCGAGGGGTGTCAATTTCAACTGTTACCCTCAAAAACGTGCACTATTTATTTTATTATACTGAATGTCTTTTTGATTTCGGATGTCATAAAAAAATTCGGAGATCTTCGTTAAGGTCACGCTTAGAAAGCTTTCAAACTCCCCGCTTCTATTTTTCTCAATAAGAAAGCTTCGGAAAAGATTTACCAACCTCTTTATTGTTTGTTTGCTACTCAAAAAGTCCTTTATCATCTAAAGTTTGTACTCGCAAGGATGTTTCGTCTGTCGTTTGTTGTTTTCAAGTAAGCTACATCGGACGCAAGCTTATATTGACGTCGTTTATTCGGCTTCTTTCAAACGCACAACCGACGTTTTGAGAATTCTACGGTGAACCGTACGCACATGATTTGAACGCATGTGATATTTTCGTAATGTTACCCGTTGTCAAGTGTGTTGCTAACGCTGAGGGTAACATTACGGATTGTTAAATGCGTCTAAACCAATCAGATTTTAGTATTTAACATGAAAGTATAATAAATATATATATATATATATATATATATATATATATATATATATATATATATATATATATATATATATATATATATATATATATATATACATGGAGAAACTTTAAATATCTTCTTGTGAAGAACAGCAAAGCCAATTAGATCTATTTATGTGGAAGCATGAGGTAGTGTAGATTAAAATTTCTTCAAATCATGACTGGGGGAGGGGGGGGGCACAATGGGGCATCAAAGTTTTACATAGGAATACATAGGAAAAATCTTCTCAAGAACAGGAAAGCCCTGATTATTCATATTACATAGACATCCTCAGGTTGTGTAGATTCAAGTTTGTGCAAATCATGGTGGTCAGACCCTCAGAGGTAGGGTGGGGCCACAATAGGAAATCAAAGTTTTATGTAGGGATATTTTTGGGAAAAAATCTTTTAAAGCCATGATTACCCCAGTAGTCACAACGTAAATGTTGAGTGAAGTTTGTGGAGACTTTCTGATATCATGTAGAATTGAGATGAATTAATCTCAGTGTATGTTGATAGATTTCTGGCAAAGGCTCAGAGGCAGGATCAGGAAGTGTGCTGTTTGTGTTTGGAGATGCTGTGTAATCTCATACCATTCCTACAGTCTGACAAGGATAGGGTTAGTCCATCTATCAAAGAGAGTCGAGATGCTGCCCTCACCCTCATGTCTGCTTTTCTGTAAGTTACTTCTGTGTTATTATGATCACAGTACAGCCAGTGCAGTTCTCTCATTAACTATGCCTCATGGGCAGTGAGAATTTCAAAGTGGTTTATGTAGCAGGGTAAGGCAGGTAAAAAAAAGCACTCCCCGTGATAAGATCTATAGTTAATAAATTTCTGTTCAAGCATGCATTATTTCATGAGCAGCTAATCTATCTAATTTGCAAAATTCAAATTCACTGGGTTCAGGAACCAGAGTTGATTCAAGTTGGTTCAAGATGGTAAATGGAACAAAACGAGCATTCTGAGAGTATTGCATTAGCAAAAAGTGCGGAAAACCAAGTGGGACAGACTGACAGAGGGACAGACAGACAGACGGACGGACGGACTGACAGAGGGACAGACAGACAGACGGACGGACGGACAGACTCAGAGGAAACCTATAGTCCTCTCCGGTTTCACCGGTAGGGGACTAAAAATCTTTTTGTTACCTGGACATCTAGCAGGCCAACTGAGAGCATTATTATTAGTCCCCTACCGGTGAAACCAGAGGGGACTATAGGTTTCCGCTGAGTCTGTCCGTCCATCTGTCCGTCTGTCTAGCTGTCTGTCTGTCTGTCTGTCCCTCTGTCAGTCTGTCCCACTTGGTTTTCCGCACTTTTTTCCTAAACGCTTGCAGATATTGAGCTGATTTTTGGTATGTGAGTGTATCTTGATGAGATACAGATCAAGTTTGCATTTCGTTCCGCTTCATTGATTTTTGACGGAATTACGACCTCTTCAATTTTTAGGGGTTTTCCGCAATTTTCTTCTAAATGCTTGCAGATATTGAGCTGATTTTTGGTAAGTCACTTTACCTTGATTAGTTATAGGTCAAGTTTGCATTTCATTCTGCTTCATTGATTTTTGACGGATTTATGGCATTTTCAATTCTTAACGGGAACCAGATTACACTTGCCGGTAGGGGACTAGTATTGCTAATGCAATACTCTCAGAATGCTTGTTAACCACTAGCCCTATGCTAAACTAGCAGAATTTATGTCCCTTACTCCGGAATGGGGGTTAAATGGGTCAAATATGGACAATAAGTACATTATTGAAAGACTGCATGACCACAGGATGAAAACGGTTGCAGGGAATTTATTTCATGGAGTTTCAGACAAAAATACAAGTTGATGTGAATGACCTAGAAAAAAATCAAGATGGCCGTGATGTGTACCTTGTGAATTATTAGGTATGGGGTTATTATTTTTTTATTAGAAAAATGTAACATCAAGTGCCTGTGGTTTATCAATTCAAACATTAGGGCCATGGTAATGGTCATATTAATGTAGAAGGATGCTCAGATAATGTAGCATCAATTTTGTTTAAGTCATACCCCACAATAGGAGATCAAAGTTTTGCATGAGAATATAAAGAAAACATCTTTGAAAATCTTCTGATGAAGAACAGCAGGACATTGATTAGTTGTATCTTCCAGCTCTCTTCAGGTACTTTACATTCAAGTTTGTTCATTTATTCAACTCATGCCTGAGTTGTATGGATTTAGTTTCTTTTTCATTTTATGGGTTAGGGTGGAGCTAAGATGGGAGGGGACAATGTGTACATAACAAATCTACGAAAAAAATTCTCAAAAAGTTTTCTCAAGAACTAGGGATGTCAAATCGGTCAATTTTTGATAATCGGTTACTCGGACGTTTTTCCGATCGAGTACCCGGGTACTCGGTAAAAATGTAAATACAAGTTTGTTAATTTTTAATTGTTAATTTATTAAACCCCAAAGCTGTTTTTATCATGTTTCATGAATGTATATAAACATGGAGTCCGATGGAAATGATTTTTGGTACTAAATTTATAAAATAAACACAGTTGGCGCAATTAATACATCAAAAATTACAGATGGTTTACAGTTCTTGTTTAGAATCTATTTCATCAAAAGGAGGACAATCTGTTAAGCAGGTTTGTGATGATTAGACTAGCGAACGAGAAGGAACGGACGTTGTTTGGATCACTAGTTTAATATTTTCCATTATTTTTTTATAAGTTGGTTGTTTCTCCTGTATACACTAAACTTACTATGGAAACTGACTTTATACATTTTTTTTGAATCTTTACTTATTTTGAAGTGGGTAGCAGCATTTCTATGCATGTCCAATTTCGCTGCTGTATATCAACTAAATGATTTAAAAATGATTTGAAGATAATAAACCATATTTAACGATGTTCACTGAAAAACAATCATTGAAGCCATCAAAAAATTAAGGACCACAATAAGTGAGAACAGCTGTGTACCAGGTGATTGGTCACTAATTACTACATATACACAGCCACAGGCGATAACGGGTGTTTACATGTGAAGATGACGACACGCTAATTACCCGTATGCATATTGAAGTTAGTTTTTGATAAAAATATGTACTTTAAAATAAGAAAAAATACACATCCGAGTAACCGAGTACCATTTTTAGTATTCGATACTCGGACGTTCGATCGAGTACCCGGTTAACTGGGTACTCGTTGACATCCCTATCAAGAACACAACTGCCAGTTAGTCAAATTGTTATTGAAGTATCGGAATGCTGCGTGGACTAAGTTTCATTTAAAACAGCTCTTTAAGGCTAGCTTTGGGACACAATATAGAGTCAAAATTTTTTCATGGGGATAAAGAGGGAAAAAATCTTTTAAAAATCTGATGATGAAAAGCATGGAAGAGGTGACCCAGGTTAGCATTGTGGCCCATGAGTTCATATTTTCGATTTTCAACTATCCACTTTGCACTGATTGATAAGAAAAGAAAATCCTGACAAGTTTAAATAAGATTCAAGCTATATGACACATCCACTTGTTACTTTTTCAGGAATTTGCCCTCTGAAAAGTGCACAGAGAAGGTTAGACTTGGAATGGCAAAATGCATCGTCCAGCTTATAAAAGTAAAGTGATTGTTTCCTCATATAGTGTAGATTCAATTTTGTTCACTTCATGGCCCATGGGGTGACAATGGGGTCACAAAAGGGGAACAAAGTTTTATATAGATTAAGAAAAAAATCTTCTCAATAACAGTGGGAGGTGATGGGTGATATTGATGCAAGCATACTCAGGTAATGCAGATTAAAGATAATTCAAATCACAGCCCCCAAAGACAGGAAGGGGCCATGATAGTAGATTAAAATTTTGCATGTGACTAGAAAAGATAAAATCTTTAAAAAACTACTCAAGAACAGCTGGGCCATAGTTAGTCATATTTTAAAATATGCAAGCATTTTCAAGTAGTGCACTTTCAAGTTTGTTGAAATCAAACCCTGTTTAAATTGACTTGTTTGTCAGTAGCATATCTTGGATTTAAAAATTGATCATATTCAGAAAAAGCTAGGGTCAAGGTCATAATTGAGGTCAAAAGTTGGTACCCAAAGAAAGATCTTGTCACAAGAAAGACATACGAGGGTTGTCCGTAAAGTTCGTGGACAACATTGATAATTACTGACAATTATTGATAAAATATATGAAATTATTATTTTTATTAGATTCATGTTTCAGTTTATTAATATGCAAGTTTTAATCACAAACAATGCACGAATAGTTATATTTTATCAGATACAAAAATAGATAAACACTCATACGCGGAGCACTAAAACGAAAATTCTTGACGTTACTCGACGTCAAAAGCTAAATACATTTAAGTTTTCTCAACGTAAATGTAGTCACCCTTAACTCAACAAATTTCTTATGTCGCTTCAACCAGTCATCAAAAATGTGGACAAACTGTTTTGGTTTCATACGTCAAATAATATTTAACACTTCCTGTCTCAGATCCTGCAAAACATCAAACCTCTGTCCGCGTAAAACGACTGTATGTATGGAAATACGGCAAAGTCACGTTACGAACTTCATTTTTTACAGCACTACAATCTCGGAAAGATGGTCTTCCTTCACGCATGTTATCCAGTAAACTGTCCCTTCCATCCGAAAATCTTCTGTGCCACTTAAACACTAAAGAATAGATTACTTACTATGATTTCCCGACTATTTAAGGATTTTATGGGTCTCTGTTGATGTTTTTCTGATGTCTACACAAAATTTTATCACTACTCTCTGCTCCACCTTTTCCGAAAACGTCCCTTTTTCGAACAATGACGATCCTATCTTAATAAACTCTGACCTCGATTTCTCTGCTATTTCGAAACTTTGAACGTTCAAATTTTACAGGTTTGACGTTATAACTTTTGTCAACCTTATAATGTAAAAGCCATCCAAATTTCCGCGGAATTTTACAAAATACAAATGAAATGTATAAAGTGATAAATAACTTTTTAATTAAAACTTTGTTGTGCTCCGGGTCACTATCCCAAGTCTAATAATGAAGTCACAATTGTTATTATACACTTAAAATTGAATAAAATTTTTCATTTTGTAATTCACATATAGTAAAGGATTATAAATATGCTAATAATAAATATCTATGACGCAACTTTCATTTAAATTTTAGCTTGTTCACGAACTTTACGGACAACCCTCGTATATGAAATATAAAAGCCCTAGCATCAACCATTCAAAAGTTACCCAGTATGGCTATTAAAAGTTAAAGGTTTTGAAGACAGATAACCCTGAATCTTTGGTTACAGGGGCATAAAAAGGAGAAGAAATCTTTAAAAATGCTCTACTCAAATCAGCAGTCCAACAGTTGCTCATTTTATGCAAGCATTCCTGTATAGTGCAGATTCATATTTGTTCAGATCATTTAGATCTATTGCAAATGAGACTGGTTGATTTTTGTTTCCAATTACAGACCTGTTTACCCTTACGATTTCGCCGTATTTTGAGTCCAAAATACGTCTCATGTTTTGCTATTATGAAAATACGGAAATCCGTTCTTTTGGATTTTAGCAGTTAGTTTTTGTAATGATCTGTCTCAGTTTGACGCTTTTCAATCGCTAGAAAAGAGAAAGATTTCAAACACTTAAGTGATGTCGGGTTGCCAAAACGCAGTGGTTTAAAAAATGACAGAAATGGTAATCAGAAATGTACTTGTTCTCTAGTAATATATGTAAAATCGATAGAAAGTGAAATCTTACTGGCAAATGCCAAATTTCACTGACAAATCTAATAATAAATACTGAGAGACAACAATATGAGTAAACAGGTCTGTAATTATAAAAAATAAAAATATGAGGAAAATATTAGTAAAAAGAAAGAAAGACTTTTTCAGATCATGATGAGCTAACCTTTTATGCTCTGTGGGCCATGCTTTGAATATGATGATTTATCTTTTTTCTGTAGGCAGATCAAAATCAAAATTGGGCAAAAATTTCTTTGAAAAGAGATGAAGGTTATGAAGATGTTCCTGTTTCTGAAGAATTTATTAAATATTTAGGAGACCTTAGCCATGCTGTAAGGATGTACTGTGCAAAAGCTCTGCAGGGGTAAGAAAAATCTTGTTAAAGAAATGTTCAAATGATTGTTCTATATTTGGGTAGACTTTGATTCTTTGATTGAACAGACATTGGGATCCTGGCAGCTAAATGTGAACAAACAAGTCTGTTCTTAAGGCTGTCCAAAGTTAATTCTGCATTTAACATCACCTATAAAATCCAAATAAACAAAATTTTGAACAAATGTGTATTTACCATAATTTCTGGGGTATATGTCGATGGGGTATATAGGTCGAAAGGCTCATTTTCAGCCGTAATTTTTAAAAAATCCTTAGATAAGACGAACTCAGAAGTTAGGATGAGGCTTTGTTTATCGATTTTCTAGAGATTCTTACGTAGATACTATGCATCAGAACATGTAAACCTCTTTAACTTAACCCGTGATATTAACGTATTGATAAAATAAACTGGTATTTTTATGAGTACAGCATTTTAATAGTGTTTTACTCAAACATAGTTAAAACTTCCTTGAATTGTGATATAACGTATTTTCGCCAGCTTGCCTGTTCAATGCCGTCGTAGTTTGACTCTGTCGTTAAACACAAAAATACGGTAGTATATAACAGCTATAATTAGGAAAATACCCGAAATCAAACAAACAATAATCATTTCCATTTTAGAACATCGTGGACACATTCTTTTATTCCGACGTTATTTACCGGGGTACAATATTGACTTTGATGACCGCCATTTTTATATTTCTTCTCCAGGGATTTGCTAAAACACGCAAATGACTATTACATGTAACAGTGAGCAATTGAAATTAATCATATTAACATGCTATAATTTTGCTTGAGATATTGTTGTAAAAAATAAATTTAATTGAGAGTACATTCGCAATTTAACAGTCATTATGAATTTTAGTTTTGTTTGTTCAGTGATGTATAGCACTAATACCCCTGTCATGGCACATGGATCTGGTAATCATGCCCTGCAGGTGTTTAATCCAACACAGGTGTTAACACCTTTGTGTACACAGTGTATATCCCTTTATCTGTCAGACAATTAAAATTCTATTAGAAGCCAATCTTTGTATAATTCAGTGTACCCCTTGGGATATAAAACAAAATAGTTATGACTAGCGGTATATTTGGTAAATAATTTTAGGTATTTACTGGCTACTATTTATTTCACACATTTTACATTTAAATAAATATCACAGACAATGAAAAAATATTTAGGTATACTATTTCAATTAATCGTTACAAATAAATGGTTAAAAAAAAAATTATAATTGCGATTGTGAAAAACTCTTCCGTATTTGAAACTTTGATACGGTTGCGGTTTTATTTTTAGTAAACGATTGCGACTTCCAACTTCACAAGATGGACACATATATGGCTGTTAGATTATGTTAGACGTAAGTCTACCACCCACTTTGGGCTGCATTCTTAAACAACCCGACTCCTAGGACAGTCCAGAGCTGATGAGACAGGTGCCTGTAAAGGCCTAACAATGGAACTTGAAATTTACTTACCTTGTTACTTTGTTAAAAAACAATCTGATTGTACACACAAGTACTCTGAATTGACAATATCTATGTGGTTTTTGGATTGCGCCCTGTTATTAGCAGACCTATTTTTGTATTCATATGAAGCAGAATTTGTTCAAAATCTTTTACGTGAAAAGAAGAAAACACTTGCTGTGGTCTTCAACTCAACATTTAGATATATCGACGCCGTATTGTCAATTAACAATGGTTACTCCATTCTTATGTCGACACGATATATCCTGGTGAGTTTGAGATAAAAGATACCACAGAGTGAGGACACATCTGTTTCATATTTGGATATTTTATTAGAAAAAGATGTTGATGGTAATCTTACAACAATGCTTTATGATAAATGTGATGACTTTAACTTATCATCAAATGGATGCAGAATTGTATTGCTATATGTAAAACCAAACAGGAACAGATATTTTAAGTTCCAATTTTCTTCCCCCAAAGACATATTTCTTTTAATCCTATGGCAAAGGTGACATTCAACATAGTATTATTTTTGGACAGTCTAATACATTTGTAATATTTTTAATGTATTCTTTAAGTGATCTGTGTCACTTGCGTGACAAACCGTTGTCCATTTTAGTTCTCCTGAATACAAAAAAATAGTTAAAAAATCTTCTTATCAAGAATTTCAAGCACATACCAATCAACAAACGTGCATGTATATGATGACCGTCAACCAAAAACCACCCTTAAGTCAAAAATTTTACATTTTAGGGTGTTTTGTGATCCTGATAGAAAAATTTCTCCTCTTTAAAATGATATATAACAGGTCATTATTCATAAACTAAAAACAAGTGAAAATTTAAAATAAAAAATACAAATTTTATGTCATGACGCTATGTTTTATCGGAAAATGTCATTTATTTTATTCTCACATTTCCATGGTTGCGTCGTAAAAACTGCACAATAAAAATCACCTCGAACTACAGATGGCATTACATATGTGATTATTATTTAATTACTTTGTTATTGTGCTGTTTTATGATCGATAATTTTAGCATTTTCAGAAGAATTTCAGGTTTCTATAGCCCCCCCCCCACCCACCCCCCCCCCCCCCCCTCCTTAAAAAAGAGATCTCAGACAAGAGATATCATTTTGTTTTGTGTCTTTTTTAAATTTGTTTTTTAAAATCTTTTTTCAGCTTATTTTTTAACTTATTTTTTCTTTTTGGGGGGGGGGGGGGCAATTTTATTGTGCCTTTATTTGGATTACTGTCGTTTAACCAAGTTTCAGTAACACAACAAATATCTAGTTTGTTTTCTATAATGTGATGAATGAATTCCTCGACTTTATTACATATTGATTGCGTGTTCACAACCGCGAATGAGAGATTTCTGTCTATTGAGTAATCAATTAGCCTTCTGCTAAGAGGTCTTAACAAATCTAAATGAACTCCCGTGTTCCAGTCTTTTTGTTTCGGTTTCCTTCGTCTTGATCTGTGACCACGATAGCGCCGTTTAATTCCAAATAGTTTTATTTTATGCATTACATTTTCATTAAGTCTGACAGACGACATGGTATTGTTATACCTGAGTGACTTTAGCTCGGCAGGGGTGTACACAATAGGAGTTACGGTCAGCACTAGATATTTGTTGTGTTACTGAAACTTGGTTAAACGACAGTAATCCGAAACACAGAATTGTGAGATCTGATCTAAATATAACTGGATATACCTTTTTGATGTACCCCGAAAATCCCGATCTGGTGGCGGAACTGGAATTCTATTTAGAGACACACTTCAAATCAAAGTAACTGACTCTTGTCAAAAAGATACATTCGAACACTCTTTGTTTGAACTAGCTTTTAATTCCACGACTATACATATTTTGGTTGTATATCGTCCCCCATACTCGAAAGCCCATCCAATGTCTACGGCGAAATTCTTTAACGAATTTACACCCTTTCTTGAAAAAATATTGTCAACCCATCGCACAGTTATAATTACAGGAGATTTTAACATTCATTATAATAAAACTAATGACTTGGACACGATCGCTCTAAATGAAATGTGCAATGACATGGGTTTAGTGCAACTTGTCAACTGCCAAACGCATCGATCTGGAAACATACTTGATCTGATCATGATCCGAAACAACGACAAAATAGTGTTGTCCGAAGCGACCGAAAATTTTCAGATAAGTGACCACTGTTTCATTCATACATATATATCTCTTCCTAAGCCTAAGGTAACAAGGGAAATCAGAAAAGTTAGAAAACTAAAGGACATAGATGAAACGCAATTTCAGGCGGATCTAATCCAATTCAACGAAAGTGCCACCAAATATGAAAATTTAGAAGATACAGCAAAGTTTTACAATTCCGAACTCAGAAATATTTTAGACAAACACGCTCCGGAAATAGAGAAAATTGTGACTATTCGACCTTCCCTACCATGGTTTACAGAAGAATCGTGTCTCCTTAAAACACGTTGCAGGTCAGCGGAACGAAGATGGAGAGGAAACAAGACCCCGGTTAATGACCACGCCTTCCGATGTGCTAAACGAGCCTACAGGAAAAATCTCAGATACAACAAGTATCAGCATATTAACTCAAACATAGCCGAATGTGGAAATGATTCTTCAAAAGTGTATAAATTAATATTTGGATTGATTGGCAGAAAAAACTGCAATTCTATGCCACTTAACGCCAGCGACGCATCACTGGCGGAGGAATTCAGTTCCTTCTTTATGGATAAAATTTTAGCCATTCGCAAAAGTTTAGACGATTTTGAAAAATTTGACCCAAACCTCGGACTTAAATGTACACAAGAGTTTAATACCTTTGATCCAGTTTCAGATGAGGATGTTTTACGTGTGATTAAAAGTTCAAAGCCCACTACCTGCCCAACTGACCCAATCCCGTCAAAATTAATCAAACAATTTTCTGATGTGTTATTGCCAACAATTGTTCTCATAGTTAATAAATCACTAACATCTGGTTTATTCGCTAATGAATGGGAAACTGCTATAGTTCGACCCCTGTTAAAAAAAAGTGGTTTAGATGTGATTTTGAAAAACTATCGTCCTGTAAGCAATTTAAGTTTTATATCAAAAATTGTGGAAAAATGTGCTCTGAACCAATTTATGAAATATCTGGAATCAAACAGATTACTACCTAGCTATCAAAGTGCATATAGAAGAGGGTTCAGTACCGAAACAGCTCTCCTGAAACTGTCATCAGACATTCTGTGGAAAATGGAAAAACAGGAAGTTACTGCCTTAGTCGCATTGGATCTCTCTGCTGCATTCGACACAGTCGACCATGCCATACTTAGCAACATGTTAGAAACTACTTTCGGAGTATCTGAAGTGGCTCTTCATTGGTTCATACCTTTCGTTCAGGAAAGCCGAAGTGCATATCAACGCGTCTAAATCACAGCTTAGATGTCTGGACTTCTCGGTACCGCAAGGCAGCATATGCGGACCTGTGTTATATACCGTGTACGCGAGTACGCTACAACATTACATCAAAGACTCGGGTGTGTCATTATTGGGTTACGCAGATGACCACTCTGCATACGATAGTTTTAATCCGAAGATTTTCGCTGATGAGAAACGTGTAACAACAAATTTAGAAAAAGTATTGGTTACCATCAATGACTGGATGAATCTGAATAGACTAAAACTTAACCCTAGTAAAACTGAATTTGTACTATTTGGCAGTCAACAGATGTTATCTCTATCATCTTCCATTTCCCTTAATGTTGTGGATACGGATGTTAATTCATCTCCTTGTATCAAATATCTTGGATGTTATTTGGACGAAAATTTAACTTTCAAAAAATTTGTCAGTGAAAAATGCAAAACAATTTCATTGAATTTGTACTTGATTAAACAAATTCGCCAATATCTAAGTGATGATTCATGTAAACAAATTGTACAGTCCCTTGTCAGTAGCCATTTAGATTATGCAAATAGTGTCCTGTACGGATTGCCAGAGTGTACCATTAAAAGACTACAGTTGTTGCAAAATCGTGCTGCAAAGCTTGTGTTGAAGCTGAGGTCTACAGATAGTTCTACTGAAGCACTCAAACGACTACACTGGCTACCGGTACACTACCGCATTAAATTCAAACTTGCATGCATTGTCTTCAAGTGCATTAACGACAGTGACAGCCCACAGTATCTTAAAGAAATGCTCAGTTTACGAACATCATCATATAGCATTCGATCCGTAAATCCTGCAGCGAAAACATTGAACGTCCCGTCCGTAAGATGCAAAACTTTTGCCTCTAGGTCTTTCGAGGTAGCTGGACCTTCGATTTGGAATGATTTGCCAACGAACGTTCGAATGTTAACTGATTTCTGTATTTTTAAACGACATCTCAAGGCGTTTTACTACACATGTGCTTTTAAATAACATTTAATTATGAAAACTAGTATATTTTATTTAAACAGCCAGTGATCATTTAGACTTTATTTGATATTTTAACATATGCATTGTTTTTTTTTTTTTTTTTTTTTTATTATATGTATGTATTTTATTGTATGCACAGCGCCAATGATTGCATATTGTATGTAAAATTGAGCGCTTTAACAAATTTTAATAATAATAAATAATAAAATAAATTTATATGGTCTATAATTGTAAAGATATCGGTGGAATACTCAGAATCATCTAATACTAGAGGCTTTTATGCACCACCACTAATTGTTTTAGAAGTTTTATTGCGCCCTTTAAAATGTTATGATTGATAATTAAACATTTTCAGGATATATCGAGTCGACATATGCATGAAATTAACTATTGCTAATTGATAATATGTCGTCGATATATCTAAATGTGTAAGGCCACAGTAAGTGTTTTCTGCTTCTCATGTATAAGAGTTTGAATGAATTTGGCTTCGTATGAATACAAAAAATAGTAAAAATGATAACAGGGATTCTAATAACAAACGGTCCCACCATTTTTCAGAGAGAGAGAGAACGACCAATCAATACATTACTTCACATATGAATTAAATCAAGCCGTTCGTCTAAAATACTTTCTGTCCTTTTGGTTTTTTTAAAAATAATATTATTATACTCGAGCTCCGCAATTTATTCTTATTTAGAGCAGTTTGGAGGAGAAGATTCGATTGCATCTTTCTATTATTTTTGTACAAATGAGCTTTTTATAAAGAAATCGTCCTCTCTAGCCGCCACTACACTTATCACTGGAAACAGATGAACAAGATTTGCTGAAGAAAAACTGCATTAAAGATGCAATTATAATACAGATCAGTTCGCTGTAATATAATTTTTATCCAGTGAAACTTTCGGCACTGAACTTCGTTATCCTGTAAACGGAAGGAAGTCCCCTCTTTATTTGCTAAAAATGTGACTTTCTTAGACATGGCGCCCTTCCTTGTGGTGGAAAACAAGCTCAATAAGCAATCAACTTTTCACTGTCTTTATAGTTTCCTTACTAGAGCAATTCCAACATCCACCAACTTTTATCAAGGTACAGGACATGCATACGAAGTAATGTTTTTGACTGATAGCAAGTCATTATATTCTCCATGATAAATAAATACCTGTTTTTAGGAATAGAAGTATTAATTATTTGAATATAATTGACAATGTGTTTAATACTGATTGATTATAGATGATAAATTTGCTACAATTGGGACACAATTAAGACTGCGGAACATTAACTGGCAATATTGGAAATATGCAGCTTGTGTCATTTCCATCTGTTACAATCAAAACATTTAATGATAGACAATGGAATGGGTGGGTAAAATTCGGCACGGGCGTCCGAGAAAACATTGGATTGAAATTCTAGTTTGAAATTATAATTGCTTTAACCCACCCTAAGCCATGTATTACTAGTATTATCTCAATAAATTTAGGAAACAATACAGTTTAGTGTCTATATGATTTCAATTTCATGATAATTTATTATCTTTTCCTAAGTAGGCTGTGTTTGTCTTCGATTAACTGTTCGAATGATTCATAATTCATAATGTTGCAATATTATTCCTTGAGTATGAACTGAGTAAAATCTTTTAAAAAATCAGTTCGTTTTAAACTGTATTTTTTAACAACTATTTTACAGAATTAAAAATCAACAGTTTATATTTTCCCCTCTAAATATCGATAAACATGCATGAAAATAAAATACACACAGATACTGAAAAAGCTTTGGAGGAAGTGGTGAATACTGAAAGCTTCCTGTTGCCAAATATCAATTGACAATTATAATGCAGGTTACTTCCCTTCAATAGTGGTATATGTTAACATCCATGTAGACTACTTCGGGCACGTAGGAAGCAATTTCAGTTTTAAATTCTTTTTTTTAAAGGGGGGGGGGGGATTCTTGACAAGCAAAACAGTAAACGATATAAAATGGGGATTCTTGACAAGCAATAACAAAGCAAAACAAAACGGACTTTCTTTTCATTTGTTATATAGTACAAACTGGCAAAATTATACCAAGGGGATACAACTGTAAATTAAAGCTTTGTTTTCTGAATTAAATTATATACCGATAACATAAATTATATTCCGGTGACCCCCAAAGCTTTACACTTTGATTAGGTTATCTATGCATTTTAACATGAATATAAAAATATAAAGTAATATTAACACAAAATCATGTTGAATATGAGTATGTTCTTTTTGTTACTACCAAAGCCTCAAAATAATATGCGATTTCTCCCCATATATATGTTTTAGAAGTAAAAAAAAAATGCTCCTTAAGAAAGTAAACAAGGGCAAAGATCATGCATTTGCTACTTCATAAGATTTTCACCTTCAGTTTGCTGTAAACTAATCGTTAAAAAAATTAACTATTTTTCCAAATACTAAACAGTAGGCCTTAATAATTAAAGTCACTCATGACTACTCAGACAGTATGTTGTCTAGTCTATGCATCTACTTTATAAAGAAAGACTTTAATTCATAATAATGCATCTTCACGCTGCACAGTATTTGCAAAATACGGCAAACATTTATAACTTTAGCGCTATTTTTCTCGGTAATGTCACAATGCACATAAGGGTGGTTTTCGCTTGACGGTCATCATATGCAACACATTGCGCAAGCATATACAAATTTGGTATAAGATTAGATTGCAAATATGATGAACCTCAGGGCCTGGATGGAGCCATAAAGGAGACAGTTTTAGGAAAAATACTGTGAAATCACTAATATTTGTGGGGGCTTAATTTTTGTTGTTTTTGTGGTGTGAAGAGACCCATGAATTCATGTCCTCCACCAAATGTAAAATTCAAATATCTAACAACTCTGTACTTCTTCAACAGTGAAATCAAATCCCCTTGAACCAATTTTTCCCCCCAACCACAAAATTTGACTCACAGAAAATAGCTATTTTACAGTATTACAAATGTTTTCATGAAAAGCAAGGATAGAAAATGTCAAACTGATATGCCAGCATTCTCATGAAGAATAGGTTCATCATTTCTAAAATTGCATTAGACGTCAAAAGGTCTGAAGTTTTACATATAAAAAATTAAAAAAAAAAAAACATCTTTGAAAATTGTTCCTTTTTAAGGCCATAGTGCCATAATTCCCATATGTGCAGACATTCCCATGTTGTATGGATTCAATTAAGTTCAGATCTTGGTCCCCAGGTCTAGTATGGGACCAAAAAGGAGAGCCCAGAAATTTACACTGAAATAGTGGGAAAATGGTGGGGGAAAATCTGAAGAAGAAAGAGGTTAAGGGTAATAAATTGTAAAGTTTAATTGATAATAATGCTTTGTCATACAGACATAAGGTTGTTCAATCTTAGGCAATCTTAATGTACAAAGAAAAATTCAAATACACAGGAAAAATCTCTCTTTTATTAATCTCCTGAATAGCTAATGGACAGTCAATTACTTGCAAATATCAGTATGCAGTCTAGCATGCAGTTAAGCATGCAGTCTAGAATATTTTTGTTCAATTTATTGCCATATGTCAATAGATGGGTTGCTAGGGTAAGATGTCTTATGTCATATAAAGTAATTTCATAAAATCCTTTCAAGAAGAATGAGGCAACAGTTGTTGAATGACATAAAATATTCTGGTGCAGTGCAATACTTTACAAGATTGACCTTTGGACTAAGTATGGATATGTTAGGTCTCTCAAATTCTACAAAGGATTCAGAGAAAAAAAATTCCCTTTCACATGGGGGTTAAAAGTTGGGCCTATGGGCTTCTTTTTGTTATTAGAATAGATTAGTATATCATATTCAATCTTATTATGTGGAGAAAGTTTTGCTTTTGTCTCCCGTTACATGTTCTTAAGTCACTTTTTGCAGACTTTTCATGTGTAATGGTATACCTTGTGAAAGACTGGCCCAAGATCACCATTTTGATACTATATACAGTGAAATAATGGAGTTGCTAAATCTACAGGTAAATCTTTAACAATATTACTAAGTTTGTTTGCTTGTGTAAGAGAAATTTCATTTTGCACCACATTCATTTGTCAGGAAGGATAAGATAAGTGAGCCTTTTGTTTGATTTTTAGGATAACTTGTCTCCTGAGAGAGCTATGGATGAGAGAAACAACAGAGTGGGCTCTGCCCTGACAAGTCTAGCTTACATAGCATGTACCAGTCCAGTCTGTGAAAAGAAGGCACTGTTTGCTTTCTGTCAGTTGACTAAGGCCAGAGATGTAGAGACAGAAAAAATCAAACTGGTATAATTATAGTTTTGATACTGACTTTAATGATAATTGTATGATTGTCACATATAGAAAACAAAATAGCATTTAGAGTTCATAGTACATGTATATGTTCTTGTCAGATACTTGCCAGATGTATGTTTGAATTTGTCATTGTTAACTTTAACTTTATTAGACAAAATAGTAAATATACTAGTACATGTATTGTTTTACTTGTAATTATTCAAATAAAGAATAATTAAGTTAAATTGTTTAGGTGTTATCTTCTCTGTGATGTTCTTGTAATGTTCTAGAATTGTGTTGAGTTTACATTTGGAGAGATAAAATGTAGATTTAAAATGTGAAAAGTATACTTATTGTTTCCTTTCATTTAATTTCTTATCTAACAGATTTTGCAAAAACTCGCTGAAATCCAAGGTTATGAAAATTGTTGCAGTTACATTCAGACTTATCTACCTTATTTGATTCATCAGTGGCTATGTCTACAGTATAATGTGGATGACTTTCCATTCCAAATGGTCAACTGTGCTTCAAAGAAAGACTTTTACAGGTGTGTACATCTATGATCTTCATTGATGCTATACATGCATGTGTACTTGTAAAGAAAAAAAATCTTCTAGATCAGCGGGGCCATGTTTATCATACTCTCATTGAAGCATTCCAATGTAGTATATATTCAACTGGTTAAATCATACATGTAGCTTCTTTAGGGTTAGATTTTAGTTCACAATATGAAATCACATTTTTAGCTCTATTGGTTAAAGACTAAAAGAGCTTATGTGATAGTAAGGTGTCGGCCATCCGTCTGTCTGTCTGACCGTCTGTAAATGATTTTTCAAAATAAGACTTCTCCTACAGTTTTGGTATGATTTCAGTATAACTTGGCACACAAGTAGAGTACACTAAGATACATAGTTCTGAGTATCAGAATTTAATTTTGATGAACGCTGTTGCCATTGCTATTAAAAATAAACATTTTTGTAAAATTCTTTCAAAAAGCTACTCCTGCTACAGTTTTGGTCTGATTTCAGTATAACTTACTACACTAAGATACAGAATTCTTTATACTGGTTTTTGATTTCCATGAAAGGTGTTGCCATGGTTACTAAAAATAGAAATTTCTGTGAAATTCTTTCAAAATGCTACTCCTCCTACAGTTTTGTTCTGATTTCAATATAACTTTGCAAAAAAGTAGACAAAGTCAGATACATAATTCTGTTTATCGTTTTTGATTTTAATGAATGGTGTTGCCATGGCTACTTAAAATAAAAAAAATTTGTGAAGTTCTTTCAAAACATTACTCCTCCTTCAGTTTTGGTCTGATTTGGTATAACTCACTGCACTAAGATACATAACTCTCTATATTGGTTTTTGATTTTCATGAAAGGTGTTACCATGGTTATTGAAGATAGAAATTTCTGTGAAATTCTTTGAAAATGCTACTCCTCCTGAAGTTTTGGTGTGATTTCAATTTTAACTTGGCATGCAAGTAGACAACACCTAGATACATAATTCTCTTTATTGTTTTTTTGATTTTGATGAACAGTGTTGCCATGGTTATTAGAAATAGAAAATTCTGTAAAATTCATTTAAAAGGCTACTCCTCCTACAGTTAAATCTGATTGCAATAAATCTTGCACACAAAAAAAGACTAAACAAAGGATCATCATTCTATTCATTGCTGTTGCATAGTTTAAAGTGACAGTACGGCGCATCTCATCAAAAACTGACTAGATAAAATTTTCCGACAAGATTTGGCATTTTTTTACTACTCATAAATGTATAAACTTTAAGAAAATTACAACTTTTACAATTAATTAATTTGGATGACTTCATTAAAATTAATAGTTATTTATGGGACGTAAATATATACATCGCAACGTGTTCGGGGTTCCACATTCCATGCTATGCACGCATGCGTAGTTTTCATAAACAAAACAGCATGGTTAGAGAGGGAATCCCGGTAGGCCTGCTACATTGACAAAGTCGACTAAAAATAAAAAGAAACTGAAAATAGAACTTGAAAAAGCATCTTTCCTGACTAAAATTTAGTTTGGGGATTAATATAATCGCTGGATAAGGAAGAAACGGGAACTCGGCGACACTCAAGCAGGGCTCTCGAAGGTTCTACTCGACAGGTTATCATTTCTCATTTTTCCGTCGCTTTCAAAGATAAAAAATAGTGTAAACTCAACATAAAAAATACATCTTTGAATTATAAACATTGTTGCCATTTGAAATGCTAATTTTTTTTAATTGTGCAGAAATATATTTTGTTTGACATTTGCCGCAATAACGTATGATTAGTTGGTTTTTCCTTTCTCGGACCCCAATACACAAAACGTCAACATTTGTACTTTTAATTCTGTTAAATTCGCCTGAATGCAGACTAAAATCTTTACGATTATTATTTTAGATTATTTTATCAGAAAGTTATGATAATTTGTGTTTTTGAAAATTGCTTTCACCTAATATTCATTATAACTGTAAACTCTATAGTGTAGGCACGTGCCGTTTTGGAATTCACGTGGTACAAATAAACAGATCTAAGATTGCTCCAGTTCGTACGACCCTTGATTTTCCGGCAGATTCTAATTACGTTAATTTTGTTTGAGTAGAGAATATTTCTGTTTCTCAAACTGCTTACATCAACTTTATACCTTATTTCTTAATGACATATTGGGTAAATTTGGATGAAAAAGCACACATTTTGCAGCCGTACTGCCGCTTTAACTTTTCTTTTGTTAAAAGTACAGTACAAACCAGTAGAGCTACAGTCTCATTAGAGACTTTTGGTGTATAAAAATAAAGAGGGAAATTTAAAAACAAATCTGCTGATGAAGAACAGCAGGGCCAGGATGACTCAAGTGAGTGTTGCGGCCCATTGGTCTCTTGTAAAAAGTAGTTTCATTTTCAAATTCTTTCTCTGCCATACAAGTAAATTTTTTTTTTTTTCAGAGAACACTTTGAGATTCTCATCACTGAACTCCTTATGTTTAAAGATATTGACAATGCAAAGAAAGTTGCTACTTCCATAGGGAGTGACTGGCTAGAGGTTCTTAAACTCTGCATACCCAGAATTGTGGTGTTCATTCTGCCTCAGTTTGCAGCCTCTCAGAGTGGAGAGACCTCTAATGAACATGTGAAAAAGAGGACTGCTCATGCCACAGCTTGTTATAATCTGCTGACTGAACAAGCTACAAAAGAAGTATTTTAAATTGTTACCTCGTCTAAGCCAGACTTTTTCTGCTTTTTCTGTTCTGATGACCAAAGTTTGTCTGTCATCCTTCTGTCTAGTTGTACATCAGTTAGCTCATGTTCAGGTCACCTTGATGACATCAAGATGAGCTTATGCAATAACCCCCCAACCCACCCCACCCCCCACATTGGTGTCAGCATTGGCTTCACTGTTGAAACATTTTATGGGCAAGTCAATTTCCAAGTTACTTTGTCTTATCTAGACCAAACTACACACTACACCATACACATGTACATACTACCAGACTTGCTTGTGATGCTGGATCTGACCTACATTTTCCAGATGAGTGATCAAGTTAAAGTTTTAGGGACAAGTCCATTCCTTGCAACTATAAGCCCTACCTGGACCAAACCTGTATGAATGACACATTTAGGGATGCACATTACCAGACTTGCTTCTAATGCTGGATCTGACCTACATTTTCTGGATGGTTGAATATGTTTAACATTTTGGGGCATGTCCATTCCCTAGTAATTATAAGCCTTACCTAGACAAAACTTGCAAAGATGATGCATCTAGGAATTCACATTACCAGATGTGCTTTGGATGCTGGACTTGATTTAACAAATTTTCCAGTTGAGAGACCACGTTCAAGTTTTTGGAGCAAGTTCCTTCTACTGTAACTATAAGCCCTATGGTGACCAAACTTGCTAGGATGATGCATCTAGGGATGCACGCTACCAGACTGGCTTCAGATGCTGGATCCGACCTACATTTGTAAGCAGGTCCATTCCCAAGTATAATGATTAATGGTCCTACCTGGACCAAAGATGCATGGATGATGCAACTAGGAAGACACACTTTCAGACTTGTTTTGGATGCTGGATTTGACCTACATTTGAGCAGGTCCATTCCCAAGTAACTGTAAGCCCTACCTGGCCCAGAGTTGCAGGGATGATGCATCTAGGGATGCACACTTCCAGACTTGCTTTGGATGCTGGATTTGGCCTACATTTTGGAGCAGGTCCATTCCCAAATAACTATACATTTAACCTGGACCAAAGTTCATGAATGATGCATCTAGGGATAAACACTACCAAACATTCCTCAGCTGCAGCATATGTCTTACCTTGACAATCTGACTCATCTTTTCAAGATGATTGAAACAGTTATAAGTTAAATCCTACCCATACTAAACTTACATGGTTGTTGCATCTAGATATGTGCACTACCAGAACATTCAGTTGATGAAAGACATTGCCTTCACTTATAGATAACATTCGTGGAGGTGAGCTCCATAATCTTTATCTATGTTTACCTATGGCTATGAATATGACCAGGGCATATAGTGTTAATCATGTCTTCCATCTTCCATCTTTCCATCCATCTTTCCATTCTTCTGTCCTTCCATCACATTTTGTGTTTAGCTCAGTTTCAAAGAAACTGTTCAAGATATTTTTCACAAACTTCATACATTGATACATATTTGTGAGCTTTTCAACTATAATTTTTTTTTTGACATGGATCTTCTTTATAACTTTGACCTTACTCTCTTCAGTCTGCATTTAGCTCAGTTTCAAAATAATGTTTGAAGATATTTTTATCAAAATTCAAATACTGATGACATCTATTCTGTTTTCGTTCAATTAAGGTGAGTATTTGCAGAAAAATGCATTGACTTTTACAAAATATGCATTTAAAAATTAAAACTGGGTAAACAAATACACATTAGCAATTGTGAATTTGCATCGCACTTTGAAAGTAATGCGCCCGATGGATTGAATTATATAACATATCTAATAACATGAAATGAGAGTTTTTATGCATGGTAATTTTAATATAAAGCATTTGAAAACCTATGACACTTCCAATGATGGTGACAAAGTAGGTTCATTTCTGAAGAAAGATTTGACTCAAAATGGTGTTTGATTTCTTTGAGCAGAAAAACTATGCCATGGGTGCAGTTACATTATGCACATACATGTAAAAGCTAAAAAAGCAATATTGGCAAAGCAAGATTTGTTTTCTTTTATAATTTGCTTCACAAACATTTCGAACATAATATGATGTGATTTTACATTGTTTAATCTTGTTTTTTGTAACATGATGAATGAGCAAATTAATTTTGAATTGATAATAGAATGATTTTAAAGAAAAGGAAAGTTTCAAATTGAAACATTATATATACTTTCAGTTGGTCGATAAGTGTATTGGTAGCAATTTGGATGTCATTGTTGTCAACATTTTGCTGTGTCTTTATGACCTTGAAGAAGATGAATTTATGAAAACTGCTGTTATCAGGTGAACATAGCATAAATTTAACTGTAAGCATGTACCAAATGAGAATTATATAAAGGAAAAATTTCACTGAAATACATGACAGTAATTCATTACTATAGTATGCATTTTGAGTAAGGCACTAATCACACTAGTGCCACAAGCCTAATGTATAAATCTAAACTGAGGCACTTGATAACAAAAAACTGAGATTAAATGTTTCCTTACTGGAGAGGTTATTTATCCAGGGTAAGACATATTATTTCTGTCAAAGCAGGTGCAGTCTGTATTGTTGCATTTGATGTGATTTGAAACATTAGGTAACACAAATTTGTGATTCAGAAAAGTGCCAAGCCTTACAAGTGCACTGTGTAAGTTAATTAATAGATTAACCTTGAATCTAAAATTAATGCTGTGGTTTCAGGAACCTGGATCCAGAGCCAAATCCTCCATGTTACAAAATGTACCAGATCCAGTCTACTCTGGACTACCTGACCAGTAATTTGTCTGGGAAAAAATCTCTTGTAGAAGTACTGTCAAAGACACAGGTATTATTTGGCCCTTTTTATATCTAAAATACTGTAAATCACAATTTTTGTGGGGTCTAATTTTTGTGGTTTGAGGAAAAGAAGTCTGTTTATGAGGATTTGATTCATAGTTGACAAAATGTTGAGTTGTTATGCATTTGAAATTTTATATTTTGTGATTGACATGAATTTTTTTGGTCTCTGCATATTACAAAAAACAACGAAAATTAAACCCCAACAAAAATTAGGGACTTCACATTAAAGTTATGTCTAGATATAAATATTCATGGGTCGATCACTTCATTGGAGTAACACATAGGTAATAATTGCTATTTGTTACATTTAAGCCTGGTCCCTGTATAACCCTAGCATCCACTATCAAAAAATTCTAAAAGATTAACTTTTGGTTCAGTAAACAGAAGAGAAACAAAATTAAGAATATTGATAATATTAAGTTTATTATGCAGTTTGATGAATACACTTTGATAAAAGGGTTTGATCTCAGGGTCCATACAGACCATGAAAAAGTGCTTGAATTTTGACACCTATATAGTTTGCATTATATCTTTTAAAATCTTTTCTCCTCCTGGGTATTAAACAAACAAACTAAATGTATAGCTATGATGAGCAAGGTTGCCTCTTCCAAAATTTTTAATTTTGTTGCCCCTGGGTAAAGGGTAAAGGGTTCTGGTGTTGGGTGGGGCTCTTTTGATTACATTGTGAAAATCATTATATTTCTCCTGTTTTTGGGCAATATAGCTTTATCTGTCAGTTTGTTGTATTTCATACTTTTATGGATCCTTTACCTTGTTTACAGTGTTGTATTATACTCAGGTGACTGTTAAGGCCCTTGAGCCTCTTGATTATCTCTGATCTTGACCTTGGAATTTGACTTGCATTTGAAAAACTTTAACTTTTGCAATGAGCTGTCATATGGGGGCGTCATTGTTTCACAAACACATCTTGTTTTCTGTGGTGCTTGATTTCTGATCTTGAGCTGCTATATAGGGAAATATGTTTGGTAAAAAGGAAAGATTTGCTCTTTTATCGATTTGCCAATAAAAAATATTAAAAAAAAATATTAAAAAAAAAATAAATGAGAAGTTAAACGAGCTTAAGGAATTAAAAAAAAAATCCTAATCAATTTGTGACAGTTTTTAGCTCTACTGGTCAATATTTGGTCAGTATTGCCTGCATATCTTCACCTTCCTGTTTTGGCATAATTATTAACAGCAACTGTTTAATAGGTTAGGTATGTATTAATAAAGTAAACATGACAAATAGCTGGCAAAATCCTGCCTCAATGATTTCCACCTTATGCACTCATCAGTCAAACTTGTTGCAATTTCTTGGGATTTAATTTCAATTCTAGGATAAAATTACTTTCTAGTGTTCTGTGTACAACCATATGGATGGTTCCATGCAGTTACAATATTTCGTAACTGGTTCCTTCAACCTATCAATTTGTTTAGTCACATTAATAAGTAATCTTTGATTTAAAAAAGACCTACATAGTTGAGTGTTTGTTCCTTGCTTTTATAATATACTAAATGTGTTATTCACTGACACAAAATGTTTTCACCATGGCAAGTGAAATATTTGTTGTTGTTGTTATACTTTCATGTTAAATACTAAATTGATTGAGACGCATTTAACAATTTATAATGATACCCTCAGCATTAGCAATACACTTGACAATGGGTAACACAACAATAATGTCACATGTGTAAATTTTGCATATATGGTTGGCCATAGAATTCTCAAAATGTCAATTGTGCATTTGAAAGAACCTGAATAAATTTTTCGTAAATCAAAGCTTGCATCTTTGTTAATTCTTATTCATAGCCAAATTGTAAAATGATATTAGAAATTAAGAGAAAGGGAGAGAGCAAGAAATAAGACATAACTGTGCAATACATGTTGAAACATTTCTTTAACGACTGTAACTGAGGTATCTTTTTCTTAAAATTTTGGTAGCCCTGAAAAGAGCTTTTTTGTTAAATTAAATGTACAGTCTGCCAGGGATGCTAAGACTGCTTATTTCTTGGCGGCTGCCTTCTTGGGAGTCTTTGTTTTCTTGGCTGCTGTTTTCTTGGGGGTCTTGGCCTTCTTGGGTTTGGCCCCAGCCTTCTTTGGAGACTTGGGTGCTGCCTTCTTCTTGGAAGACTTGGCCTTTTTGGGTGCCACTGGTTTCTTGGCTGCTGCCTTCTTCTTAGGAGTCTTGGCCTTGAGGGTAACAGTTGAAATTGACACCCCTCTGAAAACCATTGTCAACCTCCCCTGATGCATGGGTTGACAATGGTTTTCCTTGAGGTGTCTTTGTCAACTGTTACCCTCCAAAACATGCACTTTTATATAATGGTGATGAGAAATTTTTAAATGGCGACCAAGAAAATTTTTAGGTCACCATTTAGTGACCTGATTAGTAAGTGAGCACTGGCCCTGGTTACTAAAAATAGAAATTCCTTGTGGAATTCTTGCAAAATGCTACTCCTACTACAGTTTTGGTCTGATTTCAGTATAATTTGGCGTAGAAGTAGACTACACAAAAATATATAACTATTTTGGTTTTTATTTCTATGAATGATATTGCCATGGTTACTAAAAATAGAATTTAAATTGTGTGAAATTCTGCCAAAATGCTTCTTCATGTTTTGACTTCATTATAACTTGGCACACAAGTAGACTACACTCAGATACATAATTCCCTTTTTTTTTTCTTTACCTCTTTCTTAAGATGGGACGTATTATTACATATTATGTCTATCTGTCCATCTGTCAGTCTGTTAGGTTTTTCATGTTCAGCTCATAACTTTAATACTATGAGGCCTAAAATTATAAATCTTTGTCAGCTGATACATCTTAGGTAGAGTGTGTGTTACACATTAAAGTAGGTTGCTGTGACCTCTAATTAAGATGCTATGGCCAAATATGGAAAAATTCTGTCCGGCTCATAACTAGAAAACAATTAGCTTTATTCTACTTAGACCTTTCCATCCTTTCCCTCTGAATGCCCTGATTTGATGCCTATCCCAGAACCCTTAATGACAAGTTTCATTGATGCATGTGTATTCTGTTGCAGGTTACAATAGAAGATTGCATCATACTACTCTAAGAAATCATATTATTTATTTGTGTAAACAAATTAAAGAATCATTGAAAGTCCCACCAAAATTCAAAATGGCAGACAATTTACATACTACGTTTTCTTGCTCAGTTTATATGCATTACTTTTTCATCCAGTTAAGTATTTCATGGAATTAAAGTTATAATCTACCTATTTAATAAAAGTTTTAAAAGTTATAACAAAGGATTTTTATTATTAATATTCTCTAGAATAAATACTGTGAGAAGATTTGAAGTTCGGTACTATGCAGTACCGATTTTGTTACCTGTTTCTTAAAAATTCAGAAGATACCTTCCATTTTTTACATACTTAGGTATGGGAAGATGTAGAAAATAATTATTATTGAAACATAATTTGTCCCTTCAAGTAAACAAGAATGTGCAGAATTTATGTTTTAACCTGCACCTGAAAATCAGTGGGATTGACATGGAAGTAGCGCTACAATTTAGGATTTCTGAGAACTAAACTCCGAAATTGACAATAAATTATAATTTGACTGTTAATTGTATCATCACACATAATTTTAAATATTTTCTACAGACAATTTTGAATTAGTAAAGCCGATTTACATGTTAAAAATATCTGTATTTAGAATTACCCCTATACATTCATCTGGATTTTTTTTCCAGAAATTTCCAATCTGAATTATTTAAATAGATTTTGAAATTTTATTTTATTATAAATCCAATGATAAATAATACAAAGGATGAATGAAATATTGGACACCCCAGAACTCGGTTTTAAATTGCATTTCAATTTATCTAAAACAGTCTAAGAGTCAGCCAGGCAAATGACCAGTGCATCAAATCTTGGCATTAAGGGGTAAGGAGTTAGACCTATAGAATCATCAAACTTGGTCAATTGATGCATCTTAGGTAGAAGGTGTGTCACATCCTATTTAAAAGTCTGAAATAAAAATAAACTATGTTTTTTAACTTTAAATCACACAATCCCAACAGGTGTAAGAATATTGAAGTAATCTTATTAAAAAGTTAAATCGAGAAAATACACATTTTTTTCATGCTATACTATATAACAATCTGTAACAAATCTAATGTTTCTTTTGTGTGAATAACAAGAGAAATTCCACTTCTCTCATGGGTGTAATTATCAACCAATGGTCAAGGAGAATTTTGGTAACAGAAAATTGCACATCAAATTAGAGATTAATTAATGAGTTAGTGTAAGGACATTTCTGTTAGAGCATCTTTGATCAAGCAGATGTTAAATATATCTCTTGGGAATTAAGCAGAGAATGTCTAGCCTCTAATTGCAATAGATAGTTTGTCAGATTGAATAGTAGATTAAAATTTAAGTAGGTTAAAGTCTTGTAGGCTAGCCATTACTTTCAAAATAAAATTGGTGTAAAGAAATTAAAACTAATTTGATACTGTACAATATATATATTTTTATTTTTATTTTTACAGTGTCATGTCTCACTAAGATGACAATTTTATAGTCTAAAGAATAAACATAATAATGAGTGACTAAGTGTTTTGATGTTTTGAGGCTGTAGCATTGTTAACCATTAAAAAAAATACAATGAACAAAGCAGCAGATGGGCATTTGTAAAACTTTAACACAATTTAAGCAGCTGAGAAATATATGATGTATTATTTACTTTAATTAGGGCCCCGCTCTGCAGGTGCCCTATAGTGATCTGTCCGTCCGTCCTTCCATCCGTCTGTCTGTCCGGGATCTCTTGTCTGGAGCATATCTTTTCTCTCCTTGGCCCAATCTGGCTCATACTTCACCCACAGAGTGTCTTTGGGTAAATGGTGTGCAGTGACCTTGAACCATGTTTCTAGGTCTAAGGTCAAGGTCATAGCAGAATTATATGAAAAATCCTTGTCCAGAGCATACATTCTCTCCTCTTGGTCCAATGTGGCTCATACTTCACTCACAGAGTGCCACTGGTCAATGGATGTGCAGTGACCTTGAACAAAGTTTCTAGGTCAAGGTCAAAAATAGCCTCTCTGATTAAATTCTTGTCTGGAGCATATTTTTCTCTCTCCTTGGCCCAATCTGGCTCACACTTCACCCACAGAGTGTCTTTGGGTAAAGGGTGTGCAGTGACCTTGAAATATGTTTCTAGGTCTAAGGTTAAGGTCATAGCAGAATTATATGAAAAATCCTTGTCTGGAGCATATCTTCTCTCCCTTTGGTCCAATGTGACTCATACTTCACTCACAGTGCCACTGGTCAATAGATGTGCAGTGACCTTGAACAAAGTTTCTAGGTCAAGGGTCAAGGTAAAAAATAGACTCTCTGTTTAAAATCTTTGTTCGGTGCATAATTTCTTTCTCTTAAGTCCAGTCAGCCTCAAACTTTACCAATTGACTTAGGGTACGGAACATTTGTGATTTTCCTTCCATATTTTGATAGAGGATAAGCAACAATTTTCATAAAGGATATGCAACTTTCGTGATTTTTGAGCCATTTTTTGATAGAGGGTATGGAGCACTTGTGATTTTTGTGCCATTTTTAGCTCACCTGAGCCGAAGGCTCAAGTGAGCTTTTCTGATCACATTTTGTCTGTAGTCCATCTGTCTGTCCATCCGTCTGAAAACTTTTCACATTTTCGACTTCTTCTCAAGAACCACTGGGCCAATTTCAACCAAACTTGCCACAAAGTATCCTTGGGTAAAGGGGATTCAAGTTTGTTCAAATGAAGGGCCATGCCCTCTTTCAAGGGGAGATAATAAAGAATTAGTGAAAAATTAATGGCATCTTTTAAAAATCTTCTTCTCAAGAACCACAGAGCCAGGGAAGATGAAACTCATTTGGAAGCATCCTCAGGTAGTGTAGATTTAAGTTTGTTCAAATCATGACCCCCGGGGGTAGGGCGGGGCCACAATGGAGGATCAAAGTTTTACATAGGAATATATAGGAAAAATCTTTAAAAATCTTCTTCTCAAGAACAGCAAAGCCCTGATTGGTCATATTTATATGGAAGCATCCTCAGGTAGTGTAGATTCAAGTTTGTTCAAATCATGACCCCTGGGGGTAGGGCGGGGCCACAATGGAGGATCAAAGTTTTACATAGGAATATATAGGAAAAATCTTTAAAAATCTTCTTCTCAAGAACAGCAAAGTCCTGATTGGTCATATTTATATGGAATCATCCTCAGGTTGTGTAGATTCAAATTTGTTCAAATCATGACCCCCGGGGGTAGGGCGGGGCCACAATGGAGGATCAAAGTTTTACTTAGAAATATATAGGAAAAATCTTCAAAAATCTTCTTCTCAAGAACAGCAAAGTCCTGATTGGTCATATTTATATGGAATCATCCTCAGGTAGTGTAGATTCAAGTTTGTTCAAATCATGACCCCTGGGGGTAGGGCGGAGCCACAATGGAGTATCAAAGTTTTACATAGAAATATATAGGAAAAATCTTTAAAAATCTTCTTCTCAAGAACAGCAAAGTCCTGATTGGTCATATTTATATGGAAGCATCCTCAGGTTGTGTAGATTCAAGTTTGTTCAAATCATGACCCCCGGGGGTAGAGCGGGGCCACAATGGAGGATCAAAGTTTTACTTAGAAATATATAGGAAAAATCTTTAAAAATCTTCTTCTCAGGAACAGCAAAGTCCTGATTGGTCATATTTATATGGAAGCATTCTCAGGTAGTGTAGATTCAAGTTTGTTCAAATCATGACCCCCGGGGGTAGGGCGGGGCCACAATGGAGGATCAAAGTTTTACTTAGAAATATATAGGAAAAATCTTCAAAAATCTTCTTCTCAAGAACAGCAAAGTCCTGATTGGTCATATTTATATGGAATCATCCTCAGGTAGTGTAGATTCAAGTTTGTTCAAATCATGACCCCTGGGGGTAGGGCGGAGCCACAATGGAGTATCAAAGTTTTACATAGAAATATATAGGAAAAATCTTTAAAAATCTTCTTCTCAAGAACAGCAAAGTCCTGATTGGTCATATTTATATGGAAGCATCCTCAGGTTGTGTAGATTCAAGTTTGTTCAAATCATGACCCCCGGGGGTAGAGCGGGGCCACAATGGAGGATCAAAGTTTTACTTAGAAATATATAGGAAAAATCTTTAAAAATCTTCTTCTCAGGAACAGCAAAGTCCTGATTGGTCATATTTATATGGAAGCATTCTCAGGTAGTGTAGATTCAAGTTTGTTCAAATCATGACCCCCGGGGGTAGGGCGGGGCCACAATGGAGGATCAAAGTTTTACTTAGAAATATATAGGAAAAATCTTTAAAAATCTTCTTCTCAAGAACAGTAAAGCCCTGATGAGTCATATTTATATGGAAGCATCCTCAGGTAGTGTAGATTCAAATTTGTTCAAATCATGACCCCTGGGGGTAGGGCGGGGCCACAATGGAGGATCGAAGTTTTACATATTAATATATAGGAAAAATCTTTAAAAAATGTTCTTCTCAAGAACAGCAAAGCCCTGATTGGTCATATTTATATGGAAGCATCCTCAGGTAGTGTAGATTCAAATTTATTCAAATCATGACCCCCAGAGGTAGGGCGGGGCCACAATGGAGGATCAAAGTCTTAAATAGAAATATATAGGAAAATATATTCTGAAGAAGAACAGCAAAGCCATGATTAGTCATTCTGATATGGAAGCATCCTCAGGTAGTGTAGATTCAAGTTTTTTTAAATGATGACCCCTGGGGATAGGGATGGGCCACAATGGGGGATCGAAAATTTTACATAGGAACATATAGGAAAATATCTTCTTCTCAAGAACTGAAAATCATGTTTAGTCATTTTGATATGGAAGCATCCTCAGATAGTGTAAATTCAATTTTGTTCAAATGATGACCCCCGGGGGTAGGGTGGGGCCCAATGGGTGATTGAAAATTTTACATAAGAACATATAGAAAAAATATTTCTTCTGAAGAACTGCAAAGCTATGTTTAGTCATATTGATATGGAAGCATCCTCAGGTAGTGTAGATTCAAGTTTGTTAAAATGATGACCTCTGGGATAGGGAGGAGCCACAGTGGGGGATCAAATTTTTACAAAGGAATATATGGGAAAACTTTCAAGTTCTTCTCAAGTACAACAAAGCCATTTGTTATACTGACATGGAAGCATCATCAGGTAGTTTAAAATTCAAGCCCAAGCCCCCCCCCCCCCCTCCCCCCTCCCCCCCCCCCCCCTAATCTTTTCAATACTGAACTGATTTGTGCTTTTGCCTAGCCAATGTGCTCAGGTGAGCGATGTGGCCCATGGGCCTCTTGTTTATTATAACAAGGATGACATGGAAGCCCTTTAGACTCAAACAACACATCCCGTAATAGTACACAAATGTTCCTCTTCAAAATAAACCCTTTTCAGCTACCTTACATTAATTTTCATGTTCGTTGCTGAAAGCGGGGCACTTTGAGATGGCCACCATCTCAATGATATCTAGTTATTAATACCTACAATGGGAAAAATCTTTGAAATCTTTGTAAGTACTTTAATCTGTTTATGATAATTGAACAATATTTGATGGGCTATCATATGCTGTAGCTGTAGACTTTATTTTTATTTTGATGAATGGTGTTGACCTAGTTACTTAAAATAAAAAAAAAAATCGGTAAAATTCTTTCAAAAGTTTACTCCTCCTACAGTTTTAGTCTGATTGCAATAAATCTTGCCACAAAAAGAGACAAAACCAAGGATCATTATTCTCTTTATTGCTGCTACATACTTTCAAGTCCAAGTGCTACTTTTTCTCTGAGTTCAAACCAGTAGAGCTACAGTCTCATAAGAGACTTCTGGTTTTTATTTGCATGATTGTATTGTCCAAAAGTGCTTGAAAAACGGCCCCAAAGTGTTTAAAAATAATGTTGCTTGGCTGTACAAACCCTGGATCTGGATGTGTATTTTTCATATTTTTTTTAAAAGGACTCCTTGCAAAAGATCCTAGAGGAGCTGTCACTAAGACTGTTTATGGACCATAGATTACATGAGAAGCGACGGATCCTGCTCATGTATTGCCTCATATGCAGATTGCTGCTACAGGACTTTGATGGTGGACTTGGAGGTTGCTTTGTCTACATATTCAGAGAAATTCTCTATCGTTTAGTTTATCTGCTACAAGACATGAGGAAACAGGAAGGGTAAAATCATTGCAATTAGTTACATAGTTTATAAATTCCATTTTCTCTATTTTGAAATACTAGAATTTTCATAGCTGTTACCTCCATGCAGTTTTTACTATCATTATATCATTTGATATAAATGTTTAGTGAAATTTGCTCCCTAGCTTAACATTGTACAAACAATTTTCAGTTTTAATGAGACTTTGCAATGCTGAATACTACTTATCCTTCCTGTCTTTGAGAGAATTATACCACATACTTTTTTAGCATAAAGAATGAAGATGGATATGCCAACAGCATAAGCTGCATGGCATTAGATCTCGTGTATGATGTACTTAAAAGGTCCACCTCTGTTGCTGCTCAGGTAAACAACTGTCAGATTAACACACTGTCAGGTTAACAAATGAAATTTTCAGGTAAATAAAGGTAAACAGCTGTCAGATTAACACAGGTAAACAACTGTTAGATTAACACAAGTAAACAACTATCAAGATTAACACAGGTAAACAATTGTTGGATGAACACAAGTAAACAACTGTCAGATTAACACAGGTAAACAATTTTCAGATAAACACAGGTAAACAATTGTTGGATGAACACAGGTAAACAACTGTCAGATTAGCACAGGTAAACAACTGTCAGATTAACACACTGTCAGGTAAACAACTGAATTTGTCGGATTAATCAAGGTTAACAATTTAGCAGGTTAACAAAGATAAACAATGGAATTTTGTCAGGTGAACTCACGTAAACAACTGAATTAGATTAAAGAGAGATTCTCATATTTATTGTAGTTAAAAATTTATAAAATTTTCACACAATCGAGAAGAGAATACATCAGTAAGTAATGGCATATCAATTCAGTTTAAGTTTAAATTGACCATCTTATTATAGTCAGATCAGGTCAAAGTCATCATGTTTTTCCTCAGATTTAAGGATTAAGAATAATTGTTCCCTGTCATGTTGTAATGACTTGATCATTGGTATTGGCCTGGATAAGGAGTCCCGGGTTCGATTCCCCATACATTTTCCTGCTACAATGTTATACCCATTTCTATTTAAAAGTATTATTTTTTCATCTTATCAAATTATATAACTCAGATATTGGCAGTAGCTTACCTGAATTTCCTTTGTTAAAAATCAATGTTCACCTACAACCTTTTTGAATTTCTGAAAAATCAGTACTGATTAGTTTTAGTTGACAATGCTGATATGTCACTTGGACCCTTGATAACTGCATATCTATAGAAAATGCCATTTTCTGACTAGTCAATGCATTATGACACCAAGAAATGTGTCATTGTTCCCATATCTTGAAAATTTCTTTAAAAATGACCAAAAGTTGAAGCTGTTTTTCAATGTTTTATAAAGAGCACAACCTTTGATTCAGAATGTGCAATTATGGAAAGATTGAATTGTTTCCAAAAATAATAATAAAAAAGTTTTATTTTTTGGATTGAGAGTTGTGCTCATGTTATAATTCTTTGTGGAAGGCACTCAAATACATCTATTCTGTTCTCTACAAAATTCAAGAACAGTTCAATTTCACTAGGCCAGTTTACCAATACTTGGACTCTCAGAGGAAACTTTGATACTGGAAAAGAAAGCACTATAAGTCTCTACTTAATATGGATATTTGAACTGGGATATAGAATGTCAGTAAATAAGTTGGTATATCCAAAGGGCCAGTTTTATAAAGTGAACCTAGCTATTTGAAGCAATAATCGTTACTTTTCCATGATTCTTTTATTTACGGTGGAATCATCATTGTTCGTGGGGGTCAATGTTTGTGGGTAACCAAAATTTGACTGGTTTATGGGGATGTAATTTCGTGAGTAGCTTGCATATCTTATTAAGATACATACATTAACTGCGCTAAATGATTGTGTGATTCAGTGTTCGTGGGGACGTTAATTCGTGGGGAAGGGCTACCCATGAAATCCACGAACATTGATCCCCCACGACAATGATGATTCCACAGTAAACTCTTCTTATTTTTGTGTATGGTGAAGACTTAATTCATATACTGACACAAAATGAAACGAAATCAAAATTATTGACTATGTGAATAAGAGAGAAAAAAAAGATTTTTAGCTGATATGGTTCAAGTGAACTCTCCTGATCATAATTTGGTGTCATTGTTGTCATCCTGAACTTTTTACAATTTCATCTTCTTTTCCAGAACCACTCTGCCAGTTTCAACCAAAATTGGCATGGAGTTTCTTTGGGTAAAGAGCATTTAGGTTTGTTCAAATGAAGGTCCACACCCTCTTCCAAAGGTAGATAATTAAGAAATAGAGAAAATTGGATAGGGTCATTTAAAAATCTATTTCTCTACCACTGGGTCTGAAAAGATAAAACATGTGAAAGCTTTATAACAAAGCATTGATTAAAATTTGTAGGATAGATTAAAATTTGTTCAAATCATGACCCGTTGGGGCCAATATAGTTGATCAAACTTTTACTAAGAAATATAAAAACAAAATTTTTTCTGAGGACCACAAAACCCATGGTTAGCCATATTCATATGGAAGCATGCACAAGTAATATATATTCTAGTGGTTTGTTCAAATCATGACTTCAGGGGGTATGGTGGGGCCACTATGTGCTATCAAAGTTTTACATTTGAATACATAGGGAAAATCTTTTAAGATTTCTTCTCAAGAACAGCAAAGCCATGATTGGTCATATTTATATGGAAGCATCATCAGGTAGAGTATATTGAAGTTTGTTCAAATCATGACACTCAGGGCTAGGGTGTTGAGAATCAGATGATAAAAGTTTTGCAAGGAAACAGATGAAGGTAAAAATCTGGTCAAAGAGTTATAACTATCAATGTCATGGAAATTGATGTGTACTTTGGTGTGTAAATTGTTAAAGCAGAATTATACCCATCAAAGAATTTAGAAATTTAGAATTTAGAAAGCACTGACAAACCAACTTGTGCTACTGTAACCATTGTTAGAAAACTGTCAAGTATTAGGGAGATATTTTTTATGAATGGATAAGGCACTGCATATCATTGAAAAATGAAGAGGGAAAGTAATTGTGAGAAACTTTCACAATGTTTTTGATGTTAAATTTGTTGGTAAGAGTGCTCCCTTTTAATGAAATGTTAATTTTGAAATTAAATCACAAGATTTCCATTGAACCAAATAGAATGAAACATCAACAAAAAAGAAATGTTTTTTACATTAGAAAATGTGTTGATTTTAAATGCTTCAGCAATCTGATGAAGAGTGACATTTTCTATCTATTTTAAGTAGTTTCTGATGAAAGGAATAAAAAATAGCCAGTATTTTTCTAGGTGACGTAAGTTGGCCTCGTAAGCTGCTGACCAGCTTCAATGGCACCCCCCTCTGATCACTACCATTTGCAATTTCTTATTTCACTCCTCGGGACAATTCACTTCTCTTTTGTTAACACGTAATACCTTAGAAAGCAAGGATCAAATCAGAGATAGGTTGCTAATATGTAAACAATAGCACTTGCAAGATTGATTGGAAATATTAAAACGTTAATTTTTATCAGTTTACTATGAAATATAGTCCTCTGTTTATACATGCATTGAAATCAAAATTTCGGTTACAAAACAAGATCAGAAATGTATTTTTAAATGTGATTTTCAAGCAATAAGTAGGATTTTCATGGATTTACAAATACTAAATACAAGTTCCTGATGGGAATAAGATATGAAGTATCCCTACGCTACGAACGATTTTAGCGAGGTTAAAAAGTAAACGAATGCCTATGACAGAGATCCTGACCTACATGCATTTGTATTCCAAACTTCGATAGCCTCTGGAAAGTTGTTTTCCCTGTTTATTTTGTCCAAATGTTAAGATCTGAAACCGAAAGTACATTGCAAATGGCAGATTTTATAGGGGTCTTGTCTTAATACATGTCATGCTTTCAATAACAGCCTTTCAGAGACTTTTCATGTCCAATTTGCCCTTCATTGATAAACATATATTATTTCTGCAATGATGGTTTTCACAAAAAGTACAGAATTAAGCAGGTGCATTTTTTAGCTCACCTCGACGAAGTTGAGATGAGCTTATGCTACACCGTCGTCCCAGTTTAAGTTTTAGGAGCAAGTCCCATTCCCAAGTAACTATAAGCCCTACCTGGACCAAACTTGCATGGATGATGCATCTAGGGATGGACACTACCACATTTGCTTTGGATGCTGGATCTGACCTAGATTTTCCAGATGAGTGACCAGGTTAATGTTTTTGGAGCAGGTCCATTCCCAAGTAACTATAAGCCTACCTGGACCAAACTTGCATGGATGATGCATCTAGGGATGGACACTACCACATTTGCTTCGGATGCTGGATATGACCTAGTTTTTTCAGATGAGTGACCAGGTTAAAGTTTTTGGAGCAGGTCCATTCCCAAGAAACTAGAAGCCCTACCTGGACCAAACTTGCATGGATGATGCATCTAGGGATGGACACTACTACACTTGATTACTAAACAGGTTAAAAGTTTTTTGAGCAGGTCTATTTCCAAGTAACTACAAGTCCTACTTAAACCAAACTTGCAAGGATATTGATCTTGGGATGTTCCCTAACTAGAAAAAAAATATGATGTGAAATTTGCCTTACTTATAGATAACATACGTTGAGGTGAGCTTCGTAATCTTTGATTACCTATGTTTTTTAAAATGTGCAAATTTTTAGAAATTTTTTTTCTCAAACAATATTTTTAAAAAAAAAAATAATTATATTTGTAATTCATAATCTTTACAGCATTCAATGTTTTTACAATTATAGTTAGATATTAACAAATCATTTTATTACTGACAAATAAACCCAGTTATTGATTTGAAAAAAAAAATTGATTAAATTGTGTATGATTTCTTAAAACGGATTGATTTTCTTTCCTTTTCTTTTTTTTTTTTATTATTGATTGACTGATTTATTTTTTTGATTTAGTAAATAAATACTATCATTTGATTGAATTAGGTTCTGTTTATAATTTGCAAATGTAATATGTACACTAAATCAAATAAGAACATCGTGCAGGATTGGGGGGGGGGGGGGTAAGATTACTGAGATCTTACTTCTGTTCATGGCTTAATATAACTGGCACTTGTTTCAGTAAGTATGCCATTGGGAAAAAATTATTATAGAAACAAATGCTTGTTCTAAGAAAAAAAGGATATCCATATCTCCAGCGGGACCAGATACATGTAATTCATTGACTGCACTTTAATTAGAATGGTAAATATATCGCTTCATTACAGAATCAAATCTTGACTTATCATTAAAATTTAATATGGTAGAGAAGCCGGGGGAATAGTTATTGTAATGCTTTAGTTCTCCATTTTGAGACATTGTGTTTATCAAATAAAAACAATATATCCACCACCTTGTAAAATCCTTGATTTCAAATCCCGTCTAGACAAAAAAAAATGTAATCAATAGTCGCAGCTCTTAACAATACATTCTATATACATGAATACATGTCCAGTGTCCTAAAAACTAAAAAATATGCTCTAGAACTGCGTGATTAATAAAACAACTAATATATAATTACTCCGGATTTTTTTCTTTATATTTTATTATTCACAAATACACTGGCAAATTAATTCACTGTTTACAGAGAATCTGATAAATTTAAGAAATAAAATCCACAGGTATTTATTTTTACCCTTTAAATACTAATACAACTATTAAATTTCAAGAATCAAAAATCAAACGTTATTGTCGGGTATCATCTTAGCTATGATTGACAAGAGATAATACATGTAGCAGAACAAGTTTTCAGTTCCCGGCACACGGAGCCCGTGATCGCAGTCCTTGACCTTGATCACAGTCGTAAGAAGAGTGTCGGAAGTGTAAAGAAGATTCCTATACATTTTTAAGGGGTGCCTAAGGCACACCCACCCAAAAAAAGCAATATTTTTCTTAAAAAGAAAATTATCTATAAAAACATGTTAATAACAAAAACTCAAAGTTTGTGTTGACATTTGACCCCCCCCCCCCCCCCCCCCTGGAAATATTTAACCTTGTATTTGCCGATGCCTGTAAATTATGATTCATTTATAAGACAATTATTAATCAACCAATTTTATGCATAAAAAAACTATAAATGACTCATCATTTAAAAATTATTTGTATCACAATCTTGTAATATAAGAAAATTATGTTCGTTTATAAAGAAAAAAAAATTAATTGTGCTCCCAGCCTAGAATTCCCATACTTCACATTTATAGCAATGCAATAAACTTAGTATTTTATATTTCATGCCTGCCTTATCTATTTATTATTTTGCATTAATCATCCATATGTTTTTGTAATATAATATCTATATACCACAACTGTAAAACGGTGAAGAGATTCAAATAAATGAATGAAAAGGACAAGACTGGATTATTGATGATTTTTTTTAAAAACAATGTTCAGTATTGCTCCCTTTAAAAAAATGTATTGAATCAAATACCTTAAAATTGATGTGCACATAATTAATTACTTTGAACATATCTTTATTATTATTTATTATTATCTTCTTTATTTAAATAAAAAAGAAAGAAAATCAAACAAATATGTAATACATAACTGAGTAATTTTATTTTGTTGTTTCCGTAGTTTTTTCTCTCTTAAAATACCACCAGTATACTATATTCGAATAATATTAGTTATTACAAACAACACAGAATGACATGTTGATCTATCAATAGCCATATTTAAAATAAAATGAGTTCCGAATGAATCCTACACGTTTCTCACACGATTCTTGCATGAAAGACGCACGTTTCTCACACGGTTCTTACACGTAAGTCGCACGTTTCTCACACACTTCTTGCACACTTGCTACAAGGTTTGCACGAAACGCTTTGGAGCTTACACTAAACGCTGCATGGTTTTCATGAAACGCTACACGTTTTGCACAAAACGCTGCACAGTTTACACGAAACGCTACACGGTTTGCAAGAAACGAAAAGTGCACGAAAGTCGCATGCTTTTTTGGGGTAGTAGCACGTTTCAGGGTCTGTATTTAATGTTCATGTACTTTGTTTTACAGGAAGTTGAGAAGTATTTGAAATTTGTCATCAATAATTTGGTTCCACTCACAACATTGTCATCTCTCCTTTGTGAAAAGGTATGTAGTCTTTTACAAGTTAGGTTATATTTAATGTAAATTTAACGGTTAAAGCTGTTAATCTTTGATTATATTCCTGTTTTTAGAAAATTGAAACATAATCAATTCATGATTGATGATAAAGTTTTGTGAAAGGTCATGGTCATATTATAGAAGGTGAAAGGTGTATTACATGTATAAGAAGTCAATGTTACAATCCCAGTTGTGGTACAGTTAAACTTCAGTATCTCGAACACTGATATCTGGAATACCATGGATATGTCGAAGTGATTTGGAAGTCCCAACTCCTTATTCTTTCAGTATTTTACCCTCCTCAATGTCTTAAATCCTCAGTTATCTCAAAGTTTTTTCTTGTTCCCAAGGAATCAGAGATAATGAGGTTTGACTGTACTTTGTCTCATAGGCAGATCTTGCTTATAGGAATATTGATTATGTTAATGGCTATCAGTTTGTTGTTGGCCACTTTCATGAAAGTGAGGGGACATTAAATCTCATTCGTCAGTCTCTAAGTTCGTCCATCTGTCAGTCACAAAACTTTAACTTTGGTCATAACTTTTGAATGAGAAAAGATACGGCTTTCATATTTCACATGTACATTACCTGTGACAAGATCTTTCCAAAATATACTATGATTTTTGACCCAGTGACCTTGATGTTTGACCTACTTTTCAAAAGGTTTAACATTGCTTTAAAATTGTCATGACTTTTGAAAGAGGGCTTTCATATTACACATGTATATTACCTGTGACAAAACCTTTCTAAAAATACTATGATTTTTGACCCTGTATCTTGACCTTGAAGTTTGACCTACTTTGCAGAAATGTTATCTTTTCTTATAACTTTTGATTCAGAAGAGATGGGGCTTTCATATTTGACATGTGCATTACCTGTGAGAAGATGTTTTCAAGCATGCTATGATTTATGACCCCTTGACCTTGTCCTTCATGTTTGACCTAATTTTCAAAAATTTTAACTTTGGTGATTACTTTTGAATGACATGATAGGGTGTTCATATTTGACACAATATGCCATAAATAATGGCATCCCATATTCCACTAAGACATCGAAAGTGGGGGACCACAATTCTTTGAATTTGCTTGTTTTAATATAATCTTTTACAAACCATTAATAAGGTTGCAGAATTTTATATTTTGCTCTTAACCCAAGACATTATGTAGGAATGTGATGACCACTTTCCCCAAAAATATTTTGAATTTCATTTTAAATCTGTCTACCCAAATTACCTTCAAATGAAAATACTTGATCATTAATTGCCACATATTCAAAGCTACATGAAAATTCTACTTTGGAGACCTTTTTGCTCCAGCAACAACTTTCTAACAGAGACTAGAAAACAAGATTTTTAATCCAGAATCTGTTATGACTCAATGACAAATCATGTGAGTACATGAAAATCCTGTATGGTTCTGTAGAACTTCCGGTACTGGCAATATTTTAATCACCCTTTTAATCATAAAATTAATATGGCCACAGAATAATATTTAATTGCAGAGGCATTCTTACTACAAGTACGTTCGAAAGTACTTGTACAATACATTTTACAAGCTGCATGAGCCATTGTCATTGTTTTATAATTACAGGTGACTTTTGATCTCTCGAAGTTCAAGGGACCGTAAGAAAAGTTTGAGAGATCGGGGGGTTCGAGAGATAGAAAGTGAATAAAATCTGGAATTTTCAGTTCCAATCATCATTGTTCTACTATTATACATAAGTATATAATGATAAAGTCATGACACGTTTTCTTTCGTATTTTACAGGTAATTCACTAGATTTCAAAAACAATGATCGTATTTTGAATACATAAAATGATTATTTTAAGTTTCAATATTTATGTGTTCTCATTTCATGATTACATGAAACCTGAATATCAGTTGTCTAATTGGCTCTCCCCCGGGCTTGATCGGTCCTTCACAAGATTGCTCGTAATCGGTATTCAGTTCTTAAGATAGGATTTCTTGCGCAATGTTTGCCAGACTGGGATTGTGTAGACTCTCATAATATTAAAGTTCATAATCTATGGAAAATTACTGACACGTCCCTAAATTATTTCTCAAAATTATCGTCTCGTCCAGTCAAAATAAGGCTGTGTTCCCATTTCGCCTTAACAGTGAAATATAGGTAAGAAAATGTGAAAAATTTCTAAGCCAAAGTGGGAATTTGATTAATTTGTAAAAACAACAACTGTAAATTAATAATTAGATGTTTGTTTTATTGATAAGTTAATAACACAGTTAAAAAAGAAATATTTTAGATGTAAAATGAAAAAAAATAATAATATGTATTACAATTATTATCATTGGCCTCATAAGTCATTGTACAATTAAAAAATAAGAAATTTGCAAAATTTATTCATGAAAATGTTAATTATTTTATGGATGTAGTGTCTTAGAAAATACAAAGCATAGATTAAATGTTTTTTGTAAATCTAAAATGTATCAAGTCAGTATTCTACAGTTTTTTATGCTTAGAATCTATTGACTTCACTTTTTTCCGATTTTGTGTCATTTTTGCATTATTTTTTTCACAGAATCACTCATTTTCACTGTGAGCAAATAATTTGAAATCTCTGAAATCTTTGAAATTGTGCTATGCAATGCAAACAATACTTATATGCATAATTATATGTTTATACAAGTTCCCATTTTGCTTTAATAAACCCCAGAAGGTACTAAGGTGAAATGGGAAAAGCAAATTTTACAGTTAAGGCGAAATGGGAACAAACCAAAATAAGTTGTGAAGCGATTTCTCTATAATTTACCAATAACCAATTAATTATATCAACACTCGGACAATTCACAGGTGTAGTGCCATCTATGTAAACACCCAATTAACACGTCCATCCCAGCCCCAGGCATTTATACTGTTATCCAGGTAAGTCCAAGCTGCATTAATTTTATGCATGATTGACATGTATACATGTAACATGCACAATCAAAACTTCGAGAGATAGAGAGTAAAAAACAATGAAATGTGTGTAACGGGACCCAGATCTTGGTTCGAGAGATAGAGAACTTCGTGAGATCGGGAGTACGAGAGATCAGGAGTAAATTTGCTTAGTTATATAGAGGAAAAAAACGGGACCGGAGGTTTACTTCGAGAGATTGAGAGATCGGAGTTCGAGTCATCGAGAGTCACCTGTGTGTGGAACTTAGGTATTTCTAGCTCACTTGAGCTGAAGGCAAAAGTGAGCTTCTCTGATCAAAGAGTGTCCGGCTCCCATCTGTCGTCTCTAGTCCCTAAACTTTTCACATTTTCGACTTCTCCTCCAGAACCACTGTGCCAATTTCAACCAAACTTGCCACAAAGAATCCTTGGGTGAAGGGGATTTAAGTTTGTTTACAGGAAGTGCAGCACCCTCTTTCAAGGGGAGATAATTAAGAATTTGTGAAAATTTGGTGGCATCTTTTAAAAATCTTCTCAAGAACCACTGGGCAAGAAAAGATAAAAGTTTTGTGAAAGCTTCATAAAATACTCTAGATTTAAGTTTGTTCATATCATAACCCCTGGGGGTAAGGTGGGGCTACAAGAGCGGGTCAGAGTTTTACATAGGAATACATGTATCTAGGAAATGTATTTTAAAAAACTTCTTCTCAAGAACAGCTTAGTCATTATTAGTCAAATTAATACAGAAATACCCCCAGGTAGTGTAAATTCAAGTTTGTTCAAATCATGACCCCTGGGGGTAGGGTGGGGCCTACAGATTCGATGAAATTGAATGCATAACAGATTTTATTGATATTCTTTATTATTTGAATTTTTATTTTTAAAAAATTGCTTGTCCCAATAGACTTCAGTGCAATCCTTGTTAATTAATTACTGCTTAATTAATTATATTTTTCAAACTTTCTCTTGGTAAATCCTTTTCTACTATAAAATGCTTTAAATTAATATCAGAGTATTATGTACGTGATGGACATTTAAAGATAGAGATTTTATTCCTATTAGGGATGGAAAACCTTTAAGGTAAGAGCAAAATAGAAGTATAAAAGTTATAAATACCAGTGGCAAGTATCCTAGGGATTTGTTGTTCATTTCTGGGTGTAGTAAATCTGAAGAAGTTTGAGACACCTGGTTCTTATCTAACAATGGGAACCTAGGGGAGAAACACAGTGCAAGTAGTACCTTACCCAGTCACCATCTCTAGATAAGAGAAAGTTTAAGTACTGTATGATATACCCTCAGACAGAGCTGTCTTAATAATCATTCCAATCATTAACTCAGAGTAGAAGGAAAACCTATATATCCCTTGTAAGAACCTGATCATACACGTTAAATGGAAAATATTTTCAAAAATCTTCTTCTCAAGAACAACTAAGCCATTATTAGTCATATTTATACAGAAGCAACCTTAGGTACTGTAGAATCAAATCTGTTCAAATTATGACCCCCACTGGATGGGGGGCACAATAGTGAGTCAAAGTTTTGCATAAGATATATATTAGGAATCCTGAAAAAATCTGCTGCTCAAGAACAGCAAAGCCGTGATTATTCATATCTTTACAGAAGGATCCTCGGGTAGTGTAGATTTAAGCCCCCCCCCCCCCCCCCCTTTCAATACTGAACTGATTTTTGCTTCTTCCTAGCCAGTGTGGTCAGGTGAGCGATGTGGCCCATGGGCCTCCTGTGTTGCATTTGGGAGAAAATACACTTTACAAAAGGAAACAAGACAAGAATGCACAGAACATGATTAGCAGAGATTGCCAGCAGTATTCCTTTCAGTTACAATTATTAATTTAAATATATGTTCTCTGCAATAAAATAATTTTAATGTATGATTTAGGTGAAAAATGTGTTCAAGATGTTGATCATTGACAACAAGAAGACCCTGATGGCAGGAATAGCTTCACTTGATCCTTTTCCAGACAGGGAGGAATTCAATCCATTCACTGCTGTGTATAATGAAGTCAAACTCATCAAGGGACCTAGGACTTTAAGACAGGTATTATTTTGATGGTTTTCAAAGAAATATTTTAATGCATTTTCAGTATATACCTTACCTGGCTGAATATAATACGCACTTTTTTTCCTAGAAAATGTTTTTGTGAAAAGGGTGCGTATTTTACACCACAATAGGATTTTGATAGTTTTTTCTTTCAGGTGAAACACGGCTATCATACGGACATGTCGTAGTATTACCTAGAGACATGGGCAATTTCTTGTTGTTTATCGCTGTATTTAAGACTTCGGAAAATCATTGTTGGAACGTAGCTTGTTGAAAATGTTATATTTATAATCTGTTGATAATGATTATCTGTTGTTAAATGATATTAAAAACAAGTTACAATTAATTTGAGCTGCATATTCATCATCTCCGTGTAGGCCGCCATTGACAATGTTATGTATAGATGTTCACACATTCCTTTGCTGTGTGCTTGCGCAATCATAGTACACATGTACCTAATCAGACACTCGGTTAGAAATAAAATAATAATTGAGCAATTTTATAACGAAATACAATAAAAAAAACATTTATTTGGGGTTTTAAATAACGCGGTGATTTATACCATGTCGATCTGTTCAAACTAAAATTCAACAGTATTTCGTGCTTTGTTGAAATAAAATTATTTCTGCAAGGATAAAGACAACATATAATGTCACGATTGCCATTAGCTAAAAATAAATGCATTTGCCCACAAAATACTGTGCATAAAAAAAAACTCTGATGCCATGTCTATAAATACATAAAACCATGTTACAGTAGAAGAAATATATTTGCCGACTACGAAAAAATTATCCTAGACTTTTAAAATCATTTCCCTTAATTAATACGTATCAAAACCATGTTAGAGAAGCGAGAGTCTCGTGCGTACCTATCGAACTACAATTAACCTTGCCACAAGCCATTGATAGCAGGTCGCAGGTGATCATCTTTTAAAACAAACAGCCAGACCAGTGTTTTTAGCTCACCTGAGCTGAAGGCTCAAGTGAGCTTTTCTGATCAAAATTTGTCGTCGTCTGCGTCGTTGTTGTCATAAACTTTTCACATTTTCATCTTCTTCTCCAGAACTACTGGGCCAATTTCAATCAAACTTGGCACAAAGTATCCTTGGGTGAAGGGGTTTCAAGTTTGTTCAATTGAAGGGCCACGCCCTCCTCCAAGGGGAGATAATTACGAAATAGCAAAAAATTATTGGCATTATTGAAAAATCTTCTTCTCAAGAACCAGTGGGCCAGGAAAGATGAAACTCATGTGGAATTATTGTCAGGTAGTGTAGATTCAAGCTTGTTCAAATCATGACCCCCCGGGGATAGGGTGGGGCCACAATGGACAATCAAAGTTTTACATAGGAATATATAGGAAAAATCTTCAAAAATCTTCTTCTCAAGAACAGCAAAGCTATGATTGGTCATATTTATTTGGAAGCATCCTCAGGTGGTGTAGATTCAAATTTGTACAAATCATGACCCCCGGGGGTAGGGTGGGGCCACAATGAACGATCAAAGTTTTACATAGGAATATATAGGAAAAATCTTCAAAAATCTTCTTCTCAAGAAGAGCAAAGCTATGATTAGTCATATTTATATGGAAGCATCCTCAGGTGGTGTAGATTCAAGTTTGTTCAAATCATGACCCCCGGGGGTAGGGTGGGGCCAAAATGGACGATCAATGTTTAACATAGGTGTACATAGGAAAAATCTTCAAAAATCTTCTTCTTAAGAACAGCAAAGCTATGATTGGTCATATTTATTTGGAAGCATCCTCAGGTGGTGTAGATTCAAGTTTGTTCAAATCATGACCCCTGGGGATAGGATGGGGCCACATTGGACGATCAAAGTTTTACATTGGAATATATAGGAAAAATCTTTAAAAATCTCATGAACAGCAAAGCCACGGTTTGTCATATTTATACGGAAGCATCCTCAGATAGAAGTGTAGATTCAAGTTTGTTCAAATCATGACCCCCCCCCCCCCCCCACTCCCTTTTAGGGGTAGGTTGGGACCACTTATGCATTTTTGCTTTTCAATACTAAACTGATTTTTCCTTTTTTCCTAGCCACAGTGCTCAGGTGAGCGATCTGGCCCTTGGGCCTCTTGTTACAACAATTAACACCCAGATCAAGAAATTTGAACAGGCTTGACAGACCAGTTAAAAATTATTGTTCGGATAAATGAACCAATTGAAAATATAATGTAAAAATTCATTTTGTGGTGAAAAAAGACCATCCGGATACGGAACACGGAATTCCGGTTAAATGAGACAAAATAACGTTAAAAAATTTCGTTCCTATTAAAAATCGTCCGGAAACTGAAGCGTCCGGATATCTGGCGTCCGGATATCTGAAGGTCCTCTGTATATTACTTTGGAAAAATTTGATCCCCCATTGTGGCTCCTCCCCATCCCAGGGGTCATCATTTGAACAAACTTGAATGTACACTACCTGAGGATGCTTACATAACAAAATGACTAAACATAGCTTTTCTGTTCTTGAGAAGAAATTTTTTACTATATGATCTTATGTCAAACTTTCGAAACCCCCAGGGGTCATGATTTTCACAATCTTTAATCTACACTACCTGAGGATGCTTCCATATAAATATGACTAAACATAGCTTTTCTGTTCTTGACAAGAATTTTTTTCCTATATGTTCTTATGTAAAACATGGCTTTGCTGTTCTTTAAAGATTTTTCCTATATATTTCTATGTAAAACTTTGATCCTCCATTGTGGCCCCACCCTACCCCGGGGGACATGATATGAACAAACTTGAATCTACACTACCTGTGGATGCTTCCATATAAATATGACTCATCATGGCTTTGCTGTTCCTGAGAAGATTATTAAAGATTTTTCCTATATATTTCTATGTGAAACTTTGATCCTCCATTGTGGCCCCACCCTACCTCAGGGGGTCATGATTTGAACAAACTTGAGTCTACACTACCTGAGGATGTTTCCACCTGAGTTTCATCTTTCCTGGCCCACTGGTTCTTGAGAAGAAGATTTTTAAAAGATGCTATTAATTTTTCACTTATTCTTAATTATCTCCCCTTGCAAGAGGGCATGGCCCTTCATTTGATCAAACTTAAACCCCCTTCACCAAAGGATGCTTTGTGGCAAGTTTGGTTGAAATTGGCCCAGTGGTTCTTGAGAAGAAGTCGAAAATGTGAAAAGTTTCCAGACAGCCAGACAGACAGACAGACGGACTACAGACAAAATGTGATCAGAAAAGCTCACTTGAGCTTTCAGCTCAGGTGAGCTAAAAAGTCTTATCAAGAACCACTGACTGGGCTCAGAAAGTTGAAACTTTCTTTACAAAGACTTAGTGTAGATTCAAATTTGTTCAAATTATAACCCACTGGGGTAGGGTGGGGCCACATATGGGGATCCAAAGATTTACATTGAAAAATGCAGGGGATTTTTTCCATCATAAATCTTCTCAAGAACAGCAAGGGCATTATTGTCATCAGTTTTCGCGAAAGGGACCTAGGGAACATTAAATCTCATTTGCCTGTCAGTCTGTCTGTTTGTCAGTCTGTCTGTCTGTCACAATAAATTTAACCTTGGTCAAAAGCTTTTGAATAATAAGAGATAGGGCTTTCATATTTCACATGTACATTACCTACAAGAACTTTCTGAACATACTATGATTTTTGAACCCATGACCTTGACCTTGAAGTTTGACCTACTTTTCAAAAAATTTAACATTATTTTCAATTGATCATTTTGAAAGAGAAAAGATAGGGCATTCATATTATACATGTATATTACCTGTGACAAGACCTTTCTAAATATATCATGACTTTTGACTCTGTGACATTGACCTTGAAGTTTAAACTACTTTTCAAAAATGTTATATTTCCTTATAACTTTTGATTGAGAAGAGATAGGACTCTCATATTTGACATGTACATTACCTGTAACAATATGTTTCCGAGCTTGCTATGATTTTTTACCCCTTGACCTTGCAGGGGACCGCAATTCTTTGAATTTGTTTATTAGTCATTTTGATATGGAAACATCCTCATATAGTGTAGATTCAAGTTTTTTATGCCCTGTCATGAATATGGCCGAGGCATATAATGTTTGTCATGTTCGACTTCAATCAAACTTCATATGCTGATACATACTGATGTAAGCTTTTCAACTGCATCAACCTTTTTGACCTTGACCTTTCCTTTGACCTTGACCTCACTTTTCTTAAATTAGTGTCTAGATCAATTTTGAATAAACAATTCATGATATATTTATCAAACTTCATATGCTAATACATACTGCTGAGAGCTATCAATTTCCGAAACCTTACTGCACATCTACAGGACACCATTAACCATCTCCCAAAAGATCATTAGGCTAATGTGTACAATGTAAGAGGAATTCTGGGAACCAGGGGCTTTTTGCTTAAAAAATGTCATTTTTTGACCCCCATTTGATCCCTAGGGTGAAAATGAAAATTCTGAAACCTTACTGCACATCTACATGACACCACCAACCATCTCCCAAAAGATGATTAGGCTACTGTGTAAAATGTAAGAGGAGTTTGAGAAAGAAGAGTGTGACAGACGGACGGACGGACAGACTTGAGCAACAACAATATATTGGAACTTTCTTTAGAAAGTGCGGGTATAATAATGTTCTTCTACCAAATTTAAACATTAACTAGATGCTGTCATAAGACAGTAATACCCGCACTAATGTGTTTGCCTCTAAATGCAGGCACGTAGCATCAGGGGGGGCAGAGGGCCCCCCCGGCCCCACTTTTAATGTTCATGAAAGGGTGGTTGCCCCCCCCCCCCCCCACTTTTTGTTGCATTATAGTCAAATAAAGGTAATGTAGAAGTGTATATTCAAAATTGGGGTACTGAAAGAAGTTGGAACCCCACCCCCCACGAAATAGGATTTTTGAGTTGAAAAAATTTTTTTTGGCTTGTCAAGTTTTTTCAGGTAAGTTGAAATTTTTTTCTCTGGCTGCCCCCCCCCCCCCCCCCTTTTCAAAAACGTTGCTACGTCCCTGAAATGTGCTCTGACTGCTCTCCTTCAAATTCTGGTAACCAGGGAAGAAGCACACGGTTAAATCAATTATAAAATGCTTAGGTGAACATGCAGCCCATATGGGCCTCTTATGTAAATCAGGTGTGAATCCAGGAATTTTTTCCAGGGGGATCGAACCCAGAGATTTCTTGACAAGCAAAAAAAAAAAACAAACAAACAAACAAAAACAAAAACAAAAAAAACACTTAAACTCCTTTCCCAAATGTGAAAACCTATTTCATGGTGGGGGGGGGGGGGGGTTTGGCTGCTCACTTTTTAAGCTTCATTTGTATAACTTTTCATACCAACTTAACAGGGGTCCGTGTTTTCTAAGGGGGGGGGTGTGTTCCAAGGTCACTTTTAGTTGCTTTCATATATTGATTTCGTATATAAGTTCCGGACCCCCCTCCCCCTCTAGATCCGCGCCTGTAAATATTTCATTACCAGTCTGATATTACCTAATAATGTAAATTCTGATAAAGAGAGAATTTTTGAAAGATTTGTGTTTAAAAAAAGGGGGTGGTTAATTTTCTACCCATAATTGGAACTTCTTGAATTTATTGTCAAAACAACAAATATTATTATTTTAGTGCAAAGCTTTTTTGATGAACTTAAAAAAAATTAGATGCCAAAATGACAACTTGTGCAAATTTTTATCAGTATTTGGGTAGGACTCGGAAAACCCCTTTCTAAATCTTGACCCAATCAACTTTGTCAAAAATCAACCCCCACCCACGATTCACCTGTTTTCCTGTCATATTTAGAATAGATAACACAAACTTATGAAAAAAAAATTGTATGTAATAAATTTTACAAATGTACACCTTTTTGGAAAATTTCTAGACACGTGCGTGGAATTACGTCACACTGCGAGCACTACTTTTACTGTTATCATTATTGTTTTGCACATGGTTTATGTACATTATTACCACTGGGATTATTAATATTTAGTGTGTGTTTCAAATGGATTTATTATTCTATCAAGTTATCAAGTTAAAAAGCCCCTGGTTCCCTGAACTCCTCTTACATTTTACACAAGTAGCCGAATCATCTTTTGGGACATGGTTAGTGGTGTCCTGTAGATGTGCAGTAAGGTTTTGGAATTTTCATTTTCACCCTAGGGGTCAAATGGGGGCCGAAAAATGACATTTTTTATGCAAAAAGCCCCTGGTTCCCAGAACTCCTCTTACATTTTACACAGTAGCCTAATCATCTTTTGGGAGATGGTTGGTGGTGACATGTAGATGTGCAGTAAGGTTTCGGAATTTTCATTTTCATCCTAGGGGTCAAACAGGGGTTGAAAAATGACATTTTTTATGCAAAAAGCCCCTGGTTCCCTGAACTCCTCTTACATTGTACACAGTAACCTAGTCATCTTTTGGGAGATGGTTGGTGGTGTCATGTAGATGTGCAGTAAGGTTTCAGAATTTTCATTTTCACCCTAGGGATCAAATGGGGGTCAAAAAATGACATTTTTTAAGCAAAAAGCCCCTGGTTCCCAGAATTCCTCTTACATTGTACACATTAGCCTAATGATCTTTTGGGAGATGGTTAATGGTGTCCTGTAGATGTGCAGTAAGGTTTCGGAAATTGATAGCTCTCAGCAGTATGTATTAGCATATGAAGTTTGATAAATATATCATGAATTGTTTATTCAAAATTGATCTAGACACTAATTTAAGAAAAGTGAGGTCAAGGTCAAAGGAAAGGTCAAGGTCAAAAAGGTTGATGCAGTTGAAAAGCTTACATCAGTATGTATCAGCATATGAAGTTTGATTGAAGTCGAACATGACAAACATTATATGCCTCGGCCATATTCATGACAGGGCATAAAAAACTTGAATCTACACTATATGAGGATGTTTCCATATCAAAATGACTAATAAACAAATTCAAAGAATTGCGGTCCCCTGCAAGGTCAAGGGGTAAAAAATCATAGCAAGCTCGGAAACATATTGTTACAGGTAATGTACATGTCAAATATGAGAGTCCTATCTCTTCTCAATCAAAAGTTATAAGGAAATATAACATTTTTGAAAAGTAGTTTAAACTTCAAGGTCAATGTCACAGAGTCAAAAGTCATGATATATTTAGAAAGGTCTTGTCACAGGTAATATACATGTATAATATGAATGCCCTATCTTTTCTCTTTCAAAATGATCAATTGAAAATAATGTTAAATTTTTTGAAAAGTAGGTCAAACTTCAAGGTCAAGGTCATGGGTTCAAAAATCATAGTATGTTCAGAAAGTTCTTGTAGGTAATGTACATGTGAAATATGAAAGCCCTATCTCTTATTATTCAAAAGCTTTTGACCAAGGTTAAATTTATTGTGACAGACAGACAGACTGACAAACAGACAGACTGACAGGCAAATGAGATTTAATGTTCCCTAGGTCCCTTTCGCGAAAACTGATGACAATAATGCCCTTGCTGTTCTTGAGAAGATTTATAATGGAAAAAATCCCCTGCATTTTTCAATGTAAATCTTTGGATCCCCATATGTGGCCCCACCCTACCCCAGTGGGTTATAATTTGAACAAATTTGAATCTACACTAAGTCTTTGTAAAGAAAGTTTCAACTTTCTGAGCCCAGTCAGTGGTTCTTGATAAGACTTTTTAGCTCACCTGAGCTGAAAGCTCAAGTGAGCTTTTCTGATCACATTTTGTCTGTAGTCCGTCTGTCTAGCTGTCTGGCTGTCTGTAAACT